GCGTCAATTATGCAGCCATTACTCTTGCACAAAATGAATTGTAATAAATGCATGTCGGATGCTATTTGTCAAAATGCCATTATTTATGCGCAGTATCTTCCCCATAAGAAATATTTGTTCCCCTAAGCCCAGTAATAAACAGGGTGTAATCCCGATGAGGATATATTAATAAAGCCATTTTAATAGTTCGCGACCACATTCTAAGCCGCTACTACTTTAGCCTAGTTTTGTTTTTCTCCGTAGTGAACGGTTAGTCTTAGCTTCCAGCAGAACAAGAGCTTATTTGTATTTTACATTTTTAATATCATTGCTTTTCTTTACATTGCTCATTTACGAATACGTATTTAAATACGGAGCGTGGTTTTCGTCCGTGATAAGCTATTACTTTTGTATGTTCAGGACTATTCGGTTGTCGCACATTTTTGAAGAGAGCCTGGCTTAACTTTAAGCAAACGTCCTTTAACTAATACTTACTAACTTGGATGGTTGAATCGCCCGTCCTCACTGATTGTGCGCATTCTAGCATAATCCCCATTTTTTAGGAGATTTGTTAGTTTAGCCATTGTAGTTCCCCCTCGAATCTCGAGGTCAACCTGGCCTAAGTCTGCCCCGTCACCACCACATTCAGTCGCAGCAGTAGTAGATCAGAAGGGTTTTGCCAGCATACGACTAATTTGATACCACGACGGTGCTGGATCCTGGTATCGGTTTACTCATAGCTTGCCTTCCTGATAGAAACGCCGGGCTTCTCAGCTTGGGAGACCGTGCCAGGGAGATGAATCCTACCGCTGTACATCGCAGCTCGACCACCCAAGAACGATGAGGCGGTAGACCGTTGGGAGGTTTTCAACCAATAGTGAAATTTATTGAATGAATTGAAAACCATTATGATTTACAGATTTTTGTCAATCAGGGACAAGTTTTCTCTTTTTAATAGTATAATGTACTGGTTTTTCCGAAACCCAAGGGAGGTTTTTTCGTTTTTTTTTTCCTAAGGCTCGTGTTTCGAGCACGAAAGTGCACGGAAGATATTTTTCTTCGCTTTTTTTTGTACGAGTTCAAATTCCGAACATACCAGAAAAAGCCGAGTTTCATTCAGCACAACATGATGGTGCTCCCTAATGTACTGTTGCTTCTGCGACCGCATTTTGAAAACCTATAGACAATGGCTCCTCCCAACGGTTTGCTGCCTCATCTTGGCGGGGAGGTGTTCCTATGTTCCTCGGTGTCGAACTGCGTTGTACAGCGGGGGATTCATTCTTCCAGCAAGGTTTCCCCAGCTGAGGAGTCCAGCGCTTTTATCAGGAAGCCCAGCTAAGAGTAAACCAATACCAGGATCCACCACCGTCTTGGTATCAAACTAGTCGCATTGTGGCAATTCTCCATCTGATCCAAGAGGGCTGCGGCTGCCCGTGGTGGTATACTCTGGTAAGACCTGGGGTATACTCTGGCCAAGGTGACCTCGGGATTCCAGGAAACCACAATGGCCCAATCAGCAAAACCCTGACATATGGAGAATATGGGGACCCGCACAATCAGTGAGGACGGACCATCCCAGCATCCAAGTAGAAAATGGTTATTGTAGTATTAAATTAAGAAGTTGAAGGCTGACTGTGGGAAAGACGAAGCAAGGACAACGGTCGATGGAGTGGTAAATTGTAAATAAACGGTAAATATTACTAATTATTTTGTAGATTTGTGCTCCAAACGGAGTTGAAGTGCTGCCTTAAAGTGATCATGTACATCTTTAGCACATTAAGTCAACGTTTCATATAAGGAAATAGAATATCATTTTATCAAATTAAGGACACCTCAAATAATCTGTTTACTCTAAAATTAACAACAGTTGTTGAAAAATTATCATGGTATTCCCAAGTCCGACTTTCCATTAACCTCGGCATTGATTGAATATATCTTTCTACTTCTGTTCAGCTTTTGTTCATTGGCTTACCAACATGTCCCATCCTGTACTTACTTATCAAAACCCATAAGTTAATATCCAGCGATGATCTCGTGTCTACCGAACCATCGTTATTTAAGGTTAGACCTATCATTGGCTGCGTAGACGGGCCAACAGATAGGATAACGTGGTTAATAACCCTAATACTTACTCAGTTGTTGAAGTACATTCCAGCTCATCTAACGAACACCCAAATGTTCCTGGATCGTCTACGTAACGCGCGACCCAACAGCGCGTACGCGGTGGAGTCCTTCGACGTTACTGTCCTGTATACGAACGTGTCGAATGACTCCGCTATGCAAGCCATAAACGAGCTCCTTATACAACACGAAGGAGCAATAAACATGTACGGCTTCTCGATTCAGCAGTTGATGACACTCTTAAAGGAGTGCCTGAACTGCTCAATCTTCAGATGATCCGGGAGGTATTACACACAAATGAGAGGGCTGGCAATGGGACAACGACTGGCACCAAGCCTTGCCATTGCATTCATGTCTAAGGCGGAAGCGCCAGTAATCGACCTCCGCCCTTTACTCTACTGTAGATATATAGATGAGTGCTTGGTCATTTGTTCAACGCAAGAAGAAGATGTTTCGAGTTGTTGAACGAACAGTCAGAGTATATTAAATTCACCCGAGAGAAACCAAAAGAAGACTGGCTTCCATTTCTGAACGTGGAAATTAACCTATCAGAAAACGGCTACATTACGAAGTGGTATCGAAAGCCAAGTAGTAAAAACATCCTAGTTCATTACCTCTCCTCTCATCCCTCTCACACGAAAAGGGCGCTTATAAGAAACATGTTTCGAACAGCAACCAACGTGTGCACGGGAAGAGAGCAGAGGAGTCGCGGAACATGGCGCTGCAAATAGCCATTTTTAATGGCTACGAAACTGTAGCTCGAGATAGGTGTAGGGGAAACCACAGGTACCCCAACGATAACTCTAGCCACAACAAGGTTTCGTTTGTAATCCCCTTCATTTCAAATGGAGTAAGTGCAGCTATAAAACGCTGTTTAAGAAGGACCAGTCTAGAGAATTCGATAACGATAATCGAAATACCACCGAGTAATCTAAGGCGCCAGCTAGTTCGTAACCGCGTATACGACCGTCTATGTGCAACGAAAAATTGCACAATTTGCCCCAATGATAGAGACGGTGACTGCATGAGTTCGGGTACAGTCTATCTGATCTCTTGTAAAGCGTGCGGGGACGAATACGTTGGCAAAACGGGTAGACCACTCTGCGTACGTATAAAAGAACGCCTAGTCGGCAAACGTAAGCCAAGTACTCCACTAGGCACGCATAGGACGCAGAAACATAACGGAGAAGATTTTGAAGTAAGGGTTACGATCCTCGAGCAAGAATCGAGAACACAAGCGCGCAAAACTCTAGAGGCATTCTGGATAAATTCCAAGAATCCGAAAATGAACCGCAGGGAGGAATGCCTCGTTATCACGCGCGATATAGGACAGTATATAAACCTGTTATTCTGATGGGAGAAGCACATTACGCTTCCATGTGAATTTGATGCAGTCGGTCTTCACGCGACATACTCAGTGGAAGACTCATAGGAAGCGGTGAGTGTGCAGAGCTGTGCTAAATGTGATTGAAATCTTGGTTTAGCGTTTTCTCTGTTTGGTTATGGAGGTGTTTGGCCGAATGGATTGCTGTCAACTTGACCCTTCCAGGCTCTGAGGAAGGCGAAATCCGCCGAAACGTCATCTTGTGCGTAAATAAAGAAATAAAATAACACCTCGTGTTTGCTGAACAGAAGTAGAAAGATATCATGGTATTGACTAATTTGGACGCATGTAATGCAGTGGTTAAAGACGCCTTACAATACACAAGGAGTCAATACCGCATCACAGGCTTACCGAGCCTTCCAAACCTCCGGGGTCGGAAAATTAGCCCAAACTTGCCTGAAAGGACAGCACCGACTTGGTACATTTATAGGCTACTGCAAATCTGATCCAAAGCAAACCAAAAATCAAATAAAAGAAAAAGTCAATAGAAATTATATAAGACATATATCCCTTCAATCACCTTTAACGATCCTTGTTGAAGTCGAATGCATGGCTCACCCTCAGGGATTGAACAACGCCGCAAACTCAATCCTTTAGCTTCAATTGGCCAATCCTTCAAGAGGTGCCTTATTAGTTGAGTGTAAATCAAAACAATAATTATCTCGCTGAGAAGAGTGCATAAAAGTGAACGGATGCCAACTATAATGGCCTCACATATGCATGTAAATCAATGCGTATGCTCTTGAATGGAATGACAATTTATGAACACTGTTTAAATGTATGAGCCAGTGGATAATTTTTGTACAAGTGATGAGCGGAAATAGCGACATGGCCATGCTTATATTTGATTTTATAGTTGTAGACGATGTCTGCGTTCCACCGTTCACATCAACAGAACATCCACAAATTCTTAGAGTGCTTGTAAACCGCTCATTATTTACTCTAAAATCTGTGCTTACATTAATAATGTTTCCTCCTTTACATTTCAGCTTTAGATCTCTTTACATACCGAGGAAGCGGAGTTTTAATTAGAATTGCTCACACTGAAATTTAACTTTTGTCGTCACCTTTACACTCTGATGCCGATTATTTTCTATTTCTCGAGAAGTTTTCCACATATGATAAATTTCTTTGTATAAAGCGTTCTAATGATTAAGTAGAAAACAATTTGTACATTTTCACGGTTCTTGGGGAATACATAGATCATTGGAGATTGCGGTCCTCACCTCCCGCTTTTTGCGAATTACGTCACTTTTCCAAAGGGCTAAGTTCGCCTTTTAACTAAAAGTAATTTTAAAAAATAGAAAAGATAAAAGCAAATTAAACTAGCAGTAAACAATTAAAATAAATCAAACTAATAGCGCTCTGTCTCTCTGAGCTATTCTGCACTGCAGATCTAAGAATTTGAAAGATTGGTTTAAAAAATAGTGCTTTAAAAAAATTTGACGTAATTCAAATTTGTAAATAAGCTCTAACAATCCATATATTCGCTAGTGGGTTAAATTAGCTGTGCTTCATGGGCACTAGGTGCATGTCTTTTTCTGTTTGTAAAGCTTTTCAGTTTTATAAGGTAAAAGTGAGAAAAGTGATTTCTAAGATGTAAGACATTGTTCTTGACTATCATTTCGAAATCTTTCATTTTTAGTCTCGGTCCCTTCGTCAGTGCACGTTCTTCATGTTTCGACACTTCTGTGCAGGACGCCAATAGTAAGTACCGTAGCGAAGCGCGTGAATTACTCAACAAGTGGACGGGTCGGGAGAGGAACGGCGGTCAGTAATCGATGTCTATTCTCAACATGTAGAGGAATCCTACCAAATCATTTTCATTCCATTATTAAGCTTATATAATAGAAACAAGTGAGAAGCTAAATATAAGGGATCTGAGAGGCAATTTTCAATCATGAGCCATCAGAACTTTTCGAAGATGCTCTACTTTTATGGATATTTATGTGACTGGAAGAAACAGCGTGTTATTTTATCTCATCAACCTAAACTGTCAAGTTCTGCTTTGCAAGCTCATGCAAAACCATTACTGGTGTCGAAATAAAATATTTAAAGGAAATCACCATCGTTGCTCCATTTCCTTCACCAGATTTTCTTTTTTTCTATTGTACTTTGTTCGAGCATAAATCGAATAATATGATTTGTCTTAAAATAGTTACTTTTTTTCCTTAGCCATGGTAACATCTTCAGCGCGAATCTTAGCATTTCTTGCAGTCGACTCGTTTTCGACGTATTCATCGTCCACAATGAACATTTCGTGCGTGGCATCGGCTGCTGCTTTAGGATTTTGCTTTCTTCACGAATGTTGTACAGTGCTGTTCTAGTTGATTTTTTTGCTATCTAGGAGATAGCTGGGATATGGCGTTTCCACAAGGATTCGAGGATACCAATGGGTAGGGAGTCGAACTAGCACCTTACTTCCTGAAGCACCGCATCACTAAACACTGCGTTACCCGCCACCCTTAAAACATAGAAGAAATAAAATTTTTACCTGACCTGGATGTGCCTACTTTTGCGTGCTATCTTGCTAAGATATCTCCCAGACCTTCAATTACACGAGAAATCCTGTGACCTCCGTTGGAAGACTCCCATTCCAGCGTTAAGGATGGAGCTTCTGGAATTGATAGTTACTAAGAATAGTCTACGACGCCATTGGCGCAGTGGTTGGAGGCGCCCTGTAACACGCACGTGGAATCGATCCCCCCGTCCATGGCTCACCAAGCGTTCCATTCCTCCGGTGTCCGTAAATTGGTACCAAACTGGTTTAGGAGAATAGCAGCACTGGCTTGACACATCGATAGGCCACCATGAATCATTGTAAAGGCTAGATATGCATTTAATCACCTCCAACGATACTTAGTGAGGTCGAATGCTGGCGCATCTCTCATGAATTGATCAACGCCGAGAAGTTTATCCTTTTTATATTACTGTGTTGAGCGTTCGATACCCTCCTATTGCTTGCCGAGCTTGGAAACTAGGGCTGGATATCTCGCCGGTGGCTTAACAGTCTCTCCTGGAATAGACAAGGACTTCATCTGTTGAAAGCAGATGCTGACCGCCTCCCATGTACTTCCAGCAACCTGATGGCAGGCTTTCGGCAGATTCAAGTCATATAATATAAACCGCATAGACCAGAACACAACCAGACACTCACGTAATGAGTACGTCTTCGTAAATACAGAAGATGTGTGAGAAACTGACGCAGCAGAAATGCGATGTCTATACCCAAGATCCACCTGCATCTCAGCGAAACCTCAGGTCGCTTTCTGTCCTTGATTAACACTCTTTATCTGTCACATGGGACGCGTCACGTTGACCCGCGACTACCAGCATAAGAGGAGAACCGTGGATTGTACTTGAGTCTCGCATAGTACTCTACCATAAAAATAATACATAGTAAACAAAAAGCTATAGATTTTAAACTACTTTTTCACTCTGCTTAAGTTGTAGATTCCAACAAGGTCAAATTTTCTGAACTACAAATGTTTTCAATGCTTTTTTTTGCAAACCTGACCTAAATTTAGAACTAGTGTTTCTTCCTCATTTTAAACTAACGCTATAACTTTTGCAAACCATGTATGGCTTATCTCCGTTTCATTTTCGTCATATTTTTTTCGATAATCTACTCTTCCCTCCCAGCAGTTTACCACCTCATCGCAGCTGGGAGGCGTTCCTGAGCGTGGGAATGCGATTTGGACGATTCATCCTCCCAGCAGGGTCTCCCAAGTTGAGAAGCAATCCGGCGTTTCCATCGGTAAGCCCAGCTAAGAGTAAAGCAATACCAGGATCAATCACCTTCCTGGTTTCAAACTAGTCGCATGGTGGCAAATCTCTCTCCGATCCACAAAGGAGACGACTGCCTGTGGTGATGACGACCTGGGGCTGACCTCAGGGCTACAGGGAACCACGACTGTTAAGCCAGCAATACTCCGGAGCGGAGGTTATGCTGCGGCCCGCACAACCAATGAGGACGGGTCATCCAAGTATCCAACTAAGTAAGTAACCTTCTCTGTTCTACTGGTTATGAGTTTTCTACTATCACGCCGTCCTCAAATTGCTTTTTTGATTGATTAATAATAGGAATCACTGCTATCACAGAAGAATTCTGGTCGCAATCATGAAGCACCAAACCTTTCTCTGGTCCGCAGGAATCCGCAGGTTTGAGGATCTGGGAACGTGCTCCTGTGTTACTGCTCACTTGGAAAGAAATCTTACTCAAGAAAAACACCATAGTTTAATGGGTAATTCACTTTTATTATGGATAGATGAAACCAAATTCTACATATGCTCGCCTTTTAAAATGTGAGTACTTGCTTCAAAGGGAGAAATTAGTAAATGAAAAGGGGTAGCATGCACCGCCTTCGAGCATCTTAAAAAACAACCAACTGGTTGATCGGGATCAAACTTTTTACATATTTGAAGCGACCGTTTATCCAGCACTGTGTACTGAAGTAGTGAGGTATAGTCCAATAATTCAAGCACATCGAAGAAGTTGCATAGAATACACCGTGCACTTCAGAGATGTCGCCCAAAATTACATCGATTCAATGAACATTAGTCTGGTTATCATAGTGCAGATCCTCGAACAATTTTTCGTTATCAAGAATCAGCGGAATACCCCCTTGTACAATATATTATATGCTAGCACATCACTGGTACAATGAAGAGAGAAGGTGGATGAGAAATCGTCGGAGTGGATTCTATAGGAAAGAGTTTTAGGTATACACCTGCAGCTAAATGAGTTTATGTGTTCGTTTTGGCTTACGCCAGCAATTAACACCCACATCCTTAATCCTCGGCCAAACCCATACGAGAATCTGACCACGTCCGTAGGTCGTTAAATGAATTGTGAATGAATGACAGAGAAACGAATGAAGGAGGCGCTGTTGTTTTAGGACATGTGCGGTTGGGTGGTTATCTAACTACCTAAGGGTGGTTAACTAGCTACCTTTAACTATCTAACTGCCTAAGTAAATAAATACTACAATGCTGTACATTTGGATTTCAATTGGTGCTCTGTTAGATTTCGAAAGTAAATAAAATTTAAAAGCAGAGTAATCCAATGTTTAAGGAAATACTCCTCCCGTTAGTGTGTTACTGATGCTTCCACTTCGCAAACTTCTTGCTTCGCGGACTCTCATTTGCAAAAGTTGAAATGTAGATTTCTAAAAAGCGGCTGATTGTCGGATGTGGTTTCACTTGAATCGCAACTAGCAGTGCTAGGGATCAGCAGATATTCACAACATGCATTGGCCCAGTCGGAAGGAAGTTAACTGCTTTATAGTAAGGATTTCTCTAAGATATCTGCGATTCTTGAGATTTCATCTACCGACGAGAGCGATCCATTAGGTCTAGTTCCAAGGAGAAAATAATGAACAACTCCAACAGGTTACAGTCCCTGCGGCTGAGTTTTGTGTTTGCTTAGCTCACACTTGCTTCTTTCTGTTATCGCTAATTCTAATCCATGGGCTTCAAATTACAATTTCTGCTATGAACAACTTGCCAACATTATTTGAGAGCGCGTGTGCCTGAAACTTAGCTTTAGTTACGATACGAAAACGTATAAATTTTTAACATAGCAAGATCAACATATTTAGGACACTTCACTATAGTTAGGGTACAAAAAAAATTTCACAGGCATTTTATAAACATGTATTTTATAGCTACATCAAGCTACTACTCGCTACGCTTCAAGCCAAGAAAACTTTACGGTTAGCGTCTCGTGCAAAATGAAGATGGACGTAGTCGAGTGACGTCGCACGGACCGCCCATTTGTTTCCTACTGATGCTCAGCCTTTGTGGAATAAGTGCTAGCCAGTCATGTATGAGAACGGGACGGTCTCTGCGACCAATTCATCGACTATCCATCATCGTTCATTTCCGACATAGCGGCTAGCACTGTATATTAACAGTATTTAGGCAGTAGAAGTAGCTATTAGAATTATTACTTCAGTTAGACAGTTTTACCTACCATTGAATTTTTTCTAACATCTTTTCTTTGCATGAAATATCTAAAAACTTAATTCTAGATATCTGAGACGTTTTTAAACCGGACGTTTCATGTAAGCAGTTGACCGTTTTGAGGTTTACACCGTTGATCGCACACTTTCCCTTTCTTGGACAGCCTTAGAAAACAAATTACCTCTTGTGATTAACTTTTTTGAACTTTTCGAAGTTGCGAGTTACAAAGAACGGTATTTTATAAGCGTCCAAGTTAAAATGGATGCTATAGTATTATTAACAAATCTTATTTAGCTGAGCACTCTTATTTGACGAAGCCTATGGAGAATCCAGCAGCCAGTGGATACTTGAACAAAACAAACGAATATCGTAAGATTTTTCAATATTATTGGTAGACAACTAGAAACTAATGTCGTCCTAAATCGAAGCTAAAAGTTTGGTCGATCTAGGATCATAGGGGTTCACATATGGCCTTATCAGTTTATGGTTTACATAGACACCGGTTATTTTTGTGACTTCCAGCTTATTCGTAGATGCAATTGGACAACACTGTGCATTAGTTCTGAGTAGTTCTAAGTGGTACACATTTAGAATCTAGCGCCTCTTCTGATTATTATGCGTGAGCTCCCTAGATCAATCCCGTTGACGGCTGACTGCCGATGGCGCTGATCGATAGAACTAGCTGAAAGACAGGCGAAACGAAGAAGCCGCATAGTGTGGTGGTTCACGCATTAGCCCCCGGAAAGGGTAATAGTGCGTTCGCTCTCCACCGAAGACGCCGCGATCCGGAGTTTTGCTAATAACTCAGTGTCGTCGTGGTTTCGCGTCGTAGTTGGAGTTCTTTCACGGAACTATAATTGTTCACTTACGTGATCTATTTAATTCGAGATCTTTCGATACTTCTATAACGAGCGATTAATGGTGTTTGTTAAAGCTTTTTAAATTTATTTACTGTAATCTAGCACATAAACAACATAACGAAGAAGTATCAAACAATGGTATCGATTCGTTCGCGAAAACAATCAATACACTGTGTTTTGTTGCTGAGTTGCATTAGGTGTTTCTTAAATCTTTGTGAAAGGTATTGAGAATTCCAAAACAATTCAGCTTATCGTAAAACGGTGTCGTCGATTACTGCAAGTCGATCCGCAGTACCAACAACTTCGCGTTTCTCATTTTACCATAGAAATTTTTTGTCGCCGTCTCCTGTACCTCAACCACAGTTAGTTAAAAAAATCGTAACAAACATATAAAATACTCCGAATGAAAACATTTCATTTAGTATACCGCGTGCTGAACGACCATGGCGCCAACGACTCGCCGAATCGTCGCGAATTCGCGCGTCGCTCGGCGACGACGTGAGTACTTCATACTCGGCCGTAAGAAACTCTTACGCAAGGTCTCGGCGTAGCTCATTGTCGCAAGCGAGCGGGGACGAGTTATCGGAGAGTGTCGGTCGACTACGAAGCTACATGAATACCAGCGGGGTGCGTAATGTGGTATACTAGTTCACTACTAAGGTTCTATTGAATCTGTTGCCATAACGTCAAGGACAGGAAATCAGCGTGAATAGTGAGCACTCTGAGTAGAATCTGACAGGGTTTAAGATCTTAGCGACAGTATTTTTCATCAACAAGCGTCGTTGCGGCTTCAGATTGCTCCGTGTGCTTCTTCTCACTGGATTCCTTTTTAAGCATTCGTTTCGCCTTCGGCTCTTTTTGTTTTTCATACTAGCTTTATGCTCTTTTTTAAACATTTCTTGCTAAGAGAAATGAAACGTCTAGGTAAACCCGTTTATTCTGGTCAGATTCCTAAGATTTTTTATGCTTTTTGTTTCCGTATATATCCTGCTCATTTGTTACAGCATTGTTGTAAGTCATCGAGATTCTAGTTTAATCATCCAGTCGGGGTGTGATTTTAGTGGATTTCCAGCATCATGTTACATGTTACATTGCGAATGAGTAGTAATTTTCTTTAATTGAAAACACTTATAGAAGGTGATACGCTCAGGCCACTACTCTGAAGCAAAGTTGATCGATCGATTAATCTATGTAGATCATTCAGAATCGATCGAGAGAGGGTTCGGCATATGGTTCCAGGGCATCCGGCTCAACTTCGTACAGTTTACGCACACCGTTGCATACGCAATCTTGCAGGAGAACGAATGCAGTTAACCCACCGCACACGGTATTTATGTCACGGTACGGTATGGATGTAGTTCATCTGCCTATTTATCTTGTGCTATTATTGCCTCTTTGTCCTTTAAATTTCTGTCCCATATACCCAGAAATAATGGTCTACAGATCTGCATTATTTAGAACTAGTTAAGAGACACGCGAAAGGAAGGACCCTCATGGTGTAATGGTAAACGCGTTAGCCATCGGAATAGGTAATAGTGCATGACTACCGGGGTGATCAATCCCGTTGACGAGTGATTGCTGATGGCAAAAAGATCGATAGAACTAGCTGAGAGACAGGCAAGACGAAGGACCCGGATGGTGTGGTGGTGAAGTGCGCTGCTCTCCGGTAAGGACAACGGCGCGTGTTCGTTCCTCACTGCATACACCTGCGGGCCGGAGTTTTGAAAATATCTCTGAATTTCATACGAGTTGTATTTCGCAACATACCCTGCCATTAAAAAGAAAAAGGCAGTAAATAAAAGGGTTAAAATAGTGCATTCGTTCCCCACCGAAGAAACCTGTGGTCCAGAGTTTTGCAAACACCTCGGCATTGTAGTTGCCTCTACATGGTTTAGTTTAGCAAGATCTTGCGTTAGTTTGACAAAAGTATTTCGACATCTCAGTGAGATCGTGATCCACTCCCAGTCACAGTCTCTTCCTCAACCGAATTTTCTCGTCATCATAACCGAAAGCAAACTTGAAGAAATTGAGTACATTTAATTAGTTCACAACCAGAAACTACTTTTAATGACAGTTTAAGGACAGCCCTGCTCCAGCTATCCAGCCACCTCTGTTATCATGGTGTCATTCATCTTGTTCGAGATCTACCCGACGATCATCCTAGTTCACCGCGCGCCAAATCCAATGTATCGGCCGGAACACCTCCGCCGAAATGTCATCTAAAACTGCATCTTTTGCGGATCGTTGTGTCTTCGTCTTGTCTATTTTGCATATTATTTGTTATGATCTCCTCCAATGTAATACGTACTAGTTTATAAAAAATTGCCGCTTCCGTCCAGTTCTTCCTAACATGCAGTTCAAATTAATCTGCGAATTTGCTTGACTATTATCTTAATAGTACAAGCTTAGCTTCGCATTTCTTTGGTTTAAGAAGCGTATCAGATTGTTGTAGTTGTGTTTTGGGATCAATCAATGACTATTAGTAGCACATGTAGTAATAATGGTAACAACATCAACAGTGTAGTAACATTGATCATTGGAGGCGCGTGTGGCGCAGTAGTCGGAGGCGCCTTGTGGCATGCACGCGGGGTCGATTCCAGCACCAGTGGCCCACTAAGCCTTCCATCCTCCGACGTCGGCAAATTGGTTTCAGACTTGTCTTCTGGGAGGATAGCTGCAGCACTGGCTCGAGACATCGGTAGACCAGCCACCGAGAGTAATTGTAAAGGTCATATATGCATTCAATCACCTCCAAGCGTCACTTGATGAAGTCGAATGCATGGCGCATCTCTCAGGAATTCATCAACGCTGAGAGCTTTATCCTTTTTTTAATCGCTAACAATGTCTCCAGTGTTAACTTTTTATTTGCTGCCTATTACAATTTTCCACGACGGGCTATGTAGAATGTAACGACAATATGCTGAGATATTTGCAAAAGTCCGAATCACAGGTGCCTCCAGTCTTCAATGTATTGATGGAATCTATTGATTCCCAGAAATCTCTCGGTCTCGGAGCATTCCGTACAAATTCATGATCGCTGGTCCATCTAATGCACTTGTAACAGTAACAGTGGTGGTAGGAGAAATATAGCACAGAATGAGATGTGTCGTGTATGTTAGGTTCGACCGAAAACCTGTTTCTAGTAATGTTGACAGATTCGCAGCTGTAATGATAATAGTAATAAAGTTAGTGTTACAGAAGCTGTTCACCGGTTCGTCCTCGTCATGTGGTGTTCAAGTCGTTGACGTCAACGGAAGTTCCTTCGCTTTTGAACTCGAAGCTGCCAGATGTGTTGAGTGATAGGTAACACCACTTTTTTTTCAAAATGATTCACCATCGTTTTACTGGAGCATCGTTCACCAAGTCTTTAAGATGAATGATCATTTTACAGTTTCTGATTTTGCTGAGACCCTAACTGAATGTTCAGTCATCTATCGCTGTGTATTAAACTGTCAACCATTAAATGACGTTTCCATATTTTTTTTTGAGCTGCTCGCTTCTCTTTTAAGGGCTAACGTTCCATGCTCCTACTGTTTTGGCACCGTACCGCAATGTTTTTTCTTCTTCCTTATCTTGATAGCTGCTTTTCCTTCATAGTTATTTACACGTTTAAGAAATTCAAGTAATCTCTTATGTATGGTGCATTGAAAATGATTTTCGATGCTACCAGATTCTAGTTCATAAAGATTTTTTCATATTGAATTTCGATAGTAATTCCTATTTTGCTTCCCATTTCTACGTTTGTTTTCAGTCAGAAATCATCGCGGGTCGAAAAGTCACATGAGTCGCGCACGGGTTTATCAATGCTATCTAAAAGTTCTTCAATTCGAGAAAACAGCTGTAAGCGAGATTGGGAGCGACCAAGGAAGAAGACCAGTCAAGAAAGAAGTAAGCATCTCAGGAAATTCCTTACCCTGCCTATGTCCAAAGGCGGATGGTACGTCTCCAGTAGTCGTTAGAACTCCAGTGTGATTTCCGTTTGTTTTTGTCTAAGGTAATGTTTGCGAGTATCATTACATAGACAATAAATCCTATACAGCTGTGAACACAGCTGGTTGAAATTACGAAAACCTCTTCTTACAGTTGTTCTTGATCGTTTTGGGGTTCTCTGCACTGTTTTCCAGTTTATCAGCCGTTGACTTTTACTTCATAATGCCAGATAAATCTTCACTTCGCTTTTTGTATATTCCATTGGTTCACGAAGAAGGGACATTTTTTGATGGTCTGAATAGCGTAGTCCGCTACGTTACCATATTACATTCAATGGTTGTACTGCATTTCAGAATGCAACGTATAAGTGTTACTAATGACTGGTTATGGTACGCGTAGGAAAGTGGAGCGTATGGCGCAGTGGTTGGAGGCGGCCTGCAGCACGCACGTGAAGCCGATCCTCGCACTCGTGGCCCACCAAGCCCTCCATCGATCTGGGGTCGGCAAATTGGTACCAGACTTGTCTGCGAAAAAGGCAGTACTGGCTCGATACATCGGTAGGCCAACGCGAGTAAAGGCCAGATATGCATTCAATCACCTCCAAACGATGCTTAATGAAGTCGAATGCATGGCGCATCCCTCAGAGCTCGATCAACGTCGAAAGCTTTATCATTTCATTTTTATACGCTATGTAATTTTTGTGAACAGAAAACTTTGCTTCTTAATCCGATTTCCGCCACACTTGTTTTCGTTTTGTGAACTGAGAGTTTTCTTTTCTGCTCCAACGACTTCTATCGTTTTTCCATTCCTCTGATCATCGGTAGTCATTTGATTTAATAATGTTGTTTCCCACTGTGCTTTCCAAACCAGTGTATTCCCAACATTTCAAATCATCCACAATGGTGAGTGGTATTTAGCCGCTCGACGGAACTCACGGCAAGTGGGTCTTACACCTTCGAGTTCGTCGAGCGACGAGGCATTCGACCCATCACTGACCAGAGCTGATGTGAGGCGACGACGACGAAGACGCAAGGACTCTACAAAATCAGGTACGTGGCGAATCTGAGACTTTAGAATGTTTAACATGCGTTGAAATTAGGTAGTTAGAAGAGTTCTCGGCGACGCAAGCAGGTGGAACGTTTTTTTTTTGCTCTCATTTCCGTTTCATTTTTTGTAACTCCATTCTATCACTTGCTATTATTTCGTGCGCTAATTTATTTTCTTTCAAGTAGCCCTGCTCTCAGCTGGTGCTTCTGATACCGGAATGGTAAGTATGGACTCGATTTTCCAATGTGTTTAGTAACAACATAATTTGCAAATTCATTGAGAATTCCAAATTGCTCTATCGGCTTTTTCGTGGACTTTTGTTCATTGATTCAGCTGAAAACTGCTGACACATCAATCTCTCAAAGAAGAAATGGACCTGATACAAAGGATGGTAACGAGTGAGTTCGTATCTGTCTGAGTTTTAACCGCTACGGATAAATAATTCACTGCTTTTTTGAGGAGCAAAGACGACGTTGTTAATACACTATTTATTTACAATAGCTGCCGTTTCGACGGATTCGACTTCTGAGCTTTGAAAAGTCACACTGACAGGCAGTCTACTCAATTAAACGCTTTCGTAACGCCAACAGATAAAACTTAATACGTAGAATGCCTGTCTTCAAGGAAAGAGAAACCTCATCAAGAATCCAGTGAATTATTGGTCAATTCCGAGGTTAATCGATAGTCCGTCCTGGCACTCGCTATGGACGAGTTAATTTCAGTTCTTTCTTGAAAATAAGACGTATTGTCGATTTGATCATATTTTATTGATTTTATCCCTTCAACGACTTGTTCTCCCAATAACCACCAACATTAAGGTCTCCATTCGAGACTGAAAACCTATCTCCTAAATTCTTCTGAATCTTAGGACATGGTAGCGACAATGTAAGGCACTTTACTTGATGTCGGGTTCATCAATGGATTACGACGCCTATAAAAGCATTATGTCCGATTCTGTGTTGCTACCATGTTTAGTCGACGCCTAATTTTACTCCATTCGGGGTGTGAACTGGAATAAGCTCATGACCGGTTTGCCCCATTTTTTACGTGCCATTGGTATATCTCCACCTTATTAGTAGCAGTCTTCATGCTTCTTTGTGAGCATAAAAGCTTAAATCTCTGAAGGATACAGGGACATCCTGATGCCCTCCTTATGTGTAGTACTCTCGCTATCTTTGTTCTCTCTTCGCCAGCAGCGATCTGACGAACAAACTGGTCTGAAAAACTGCTCTTATTTATTACTGACTTCAGATAATAACTTTTCTGGTCTGAAGTGTACGCTGTAAGGTAGACAATAGTATCTTTATCTGCGTTCTACAAGCGGTCACTTGAGTATAGAAAGACAGAAACATTTATGTCACCAATTATACGGCCTGAAAGAAAATGAGTTGATGTGAAATCATGCCGGCAGATTTGCCACACATATGAATGAAAATCAACCCACACTCGCTTTCAAGTGCTGAAAATTTCTTATTAACGACATTTATTAATAATAACCTCTAGGTCAATTCTTCACGCTGCATCTACCGACGTCATTTCAACAGGTTCGAGTTTTAAGTTCAATTTTTCAAAACCCTTCCTTAATTTTACAAGTTTTAGTCAGTTCTTCAGTGCCTATAATTGTGCACTGCGAAAACGGCGCTTTATCGCACAAGAGCGAGAGAATAAACTGCGAAAAATCGCCGGAGCGGAGTCAGATTTCAGACCTGCGAAGTGGTCAGTGTCACTTTAAGTAAATGATTGTGTGACGGATGTTCTCAGACAAATACTTGATACTTGATACTTGAATGGCCCGTCCTAATTGGTTGTGCGGGCCTCAGCATATTCTCCAATTTTTCCCGAGATTTGCTGGTCAAGCCATTGTGGTTCCTTGGAATCCCGAGCTCAGTCTGGACGAAGTCTGCCCCAGGTCTTCACCACCACGGGCAGTCGCAGTCGTTGGGAGATTTGCTACGATGGGACTAATTTTATACCAGGACGGTGGTGGATCCTGGTATTGCTTTACTCTTAGCTAAGATTCCTGATCGAAACGTCATACGAATAGGGACAGAAAATAAGAAAAATCAGCGTACCAGTACCATGGATACTAGGGGATATAAAGGATGGGGTCTTGTAGAGGTTTAAATGTTGAGCCATGAACTATGGATAATTGGAAACGACGCTTCGTCCTAAAAGTTACTCACTAGAAGAGTAATAAATATATCTTTTTTTATCGTTTATTGTTCATTGTGTAGAAGATTGAGATGAGAATGAGACGGTGAGATGAGAAGACGGTCAGCAATTCAACTGTAAAGTAGATTGTGAAGCAATTGTGTTACATCTTCCAGACGATGTATCAAGCCTAGCCGTGAATATCACTCAGGCAAGTAGTGAGAAAGTGAATGCGCCTGACAAATCAGAGAAGTGGTGCACTGCGGTGAAGATTGATCGGACGACTGTCGCACCAACTAAGGTTATTTAAAAGCCAGAGTGTATCTCTATACTTTAAAAGCTCCTTGTCTATTTTAAAAATCAGCCTTGCTTTAACCACAGTATGAATGGTCAATGCACCTTCTTTCATTGATGAGGTTACGCGACGTTAACAGAATAAACTTCGTTCGACTAATTTCGACGACCTCGTCTTTCTCGGAGTCGAAAAATCTGACGAAGACCAAGACGTCAAAACGTTAGCCAAGCAAAGTTCATTTTATCAACGTTTTGTAAGTTCATCAATGAAGTAAGCTACATTGATCTTTATCTACTGTTCTTCGATGGCCAACTATAGTTAAACTTTGTAAGCCGAACGGCTCTGATCATGGAATTTTGCTTATATGGAACTGCTCTACGATCTCATTAGTGTCTATCTAGTTTTATTTTCTCGATACAGTTCGGAATTAGTTGAAAAATGCTGTGAAATATCGTGATGTTACCTTTCGTTAAATGGAACACGTCGTAGACGCTCTTAGCCATTCTCGAACTAATGGATTCTGCAGCCTACGGGGTGCTAGTGAGAAGGAATCCCGAAGAACTATAGTTAGATACTACTATGCAGTTGTATCAATTTAATATCTGCTTTTTTTGGTTTTATGTTTCAATTTTATATCTGTTTTGTTTGTTTCTTTTAGTGCACGATGTGTTCTGTTGACGATTTCCTTTGCTCCATTTTATTTTTCTTTTAGATTTCAATACTTTGTAGCTTCAGTTGGCTGCATGTTTAACCTTGAGTGATTTATTTCAGTCTAGTGATAGCGGCAGTGTAGACGATTTGATAGGCAGTGCTGAGGTGAGTGTGCTCATAACTAATTGGTTGTCTTAAAATCGTGGTGAATCCCACTACTTGCTGCGTCAGCTGGGTGAACAATATCAAACGAAGGCTTCTATTAAGTATAACCTAAGGTCGATATATCTATCTATCTATCTCTCTATCTATATATATATATATATATATATATATATATATATATATATGTTCTTACGAACTGCCTTTTTTAACCGGCTCGAAGTAGGTATAGATGTTCTTATTGTTGTTGTTGTCGTTGTTCAATGGCTGACGTTTCGGCGACCTCGATTCTTCAGAGCTTGAGCGTATCTCATGCAACAAAAGCTTTATAATTCGGTGAACGAGGGTCTAAAATGCATAAATAATCGCTATGTTGTTTAAAACCTACTCATCGTGTGTGACGTGAAACCATTCGTGTGTTGCTCAGGTGAGATGGCATGTGAGATCCAGCCAGACCAGAAAATCAATTTGAAAAGAGGCGCTAGATCAAGTATGACAGTAAATCACTCCTCATTCTGGTTCACCTTTGAACTTTTAAAATTTATTTGTACGCTTCAAGAGTCTTGGACGCTGATGTTTTCCATTCCTGCGCTAGGATCCTGACAGTTACTTCGAAATGATCACCGTTGTGCTTTTCTGCTCAATGTGTACTGAAAGCTGTGCTTTGGCGGATTTTAGATTCCCCGTTTAGATGATCTTTTGTGTGGACACAAAGTGGTCTACCTGTTTCCTCAATGTGTTCTTCACTGCATGTCTTACATAATAAGTGTATTGTACCCTAAACTCATGCAACACCCGTCTCTCCTCTTAGGACAGATCAAACAATTTTCTGAGCTGCACAAACGATCATAGAGACGGTTTCGAACTATCTGACGGCGTAGGGTATTGGGTGGGAGAACAGTAACAGCCACATAACCTTCAAGGCCACTTCTAACACACCTCTTTATGGCGTAACTTATCTCTTTTGAAACGAAGGATAACTTGAAAGGAATCTTATTTAAGTTTTAAACATTATTTTGGGGAACAGCCCTACCTTTCGGTCTCACACAAGAGGCTTTTTCCTCGTAGCCATTGCAAACAGCCATTTTACATGCCAAGTTTTGCGATTCCTTCCTTTCCTCTTCTTCTGTGCACACTTTTTTAGCTGCTCTGTACATATTTTTGATGAAGACTTTTTTTATATGTGAAGAATGAGAGGGAAGCTAGTATTCTTTATATTCTTGCTAAGCAAACGCGGGGTGTTATTTTATTCTTTATTCAAGAACAAGCTGATGTTTCGGCGGATTTCGTCTTCCTCAGAGTCTGGAAAGGTCAAGTTGACTGCAATCTACCCGGCCAAACACCTCCATAATCAAACGGAAAAAGTGCTAAAGAAGAAAACAAAAAGCTAAACAAAAAGCTAGTATATAATGCTGAGATATTTGCAAAATTCCGGACTGCAGGTATATGCGGTGGGGAACGAACGCGCTATTGTCCTTACCGGGGAGTAACGAGTTCTCCACCACACCATCGGGGTCCTTCATTTTGCCTGTCTCACCTGCCTGTAATAAAAAGGTTAAGAAAGCTAGTATATTTCAACTACTCGGTATTCGATACCATTTTGTCATATAGCCACTTTCTAAGAGTTTAATTTGGATGTATAAGAATGGAAACCAGTCCTCGGTTGGCTTTTCTCGCGTAAATTTTATATACTCTGACTGTAGGTTTAACACTTCAAAGCACTCGTCCATCTGTTCTTGTGTGGGACAGACGGCAAAGCAGTCGTCTCTGTATCGACATCAAAGTAAGGGTCGGCGTTCAAGAACTGGAGCTTCCACCTTATACATGGAAGCGGTGGCGAGGCTTGATGCTAATCGCTGTTCCATGGTCACCAACTCTCTATAACAACCTCACGTCGGCGAAAATGGGGAGTTCGTAAGAGCATTTATACAGATATATCGATTATAATGCCGTAGTTTATAGAAAGCCAGTCTTTTGAGTCATCATCTTAAACTCTGTTTTTTTTTATTATAGAAAATTCTTCCGATTTGGCTTATTTCAATACACTTTATGTCAATGCTTAGAAAATAACAAGGTAGCTTTGTCATGCGCTTCATAGAGATTCATTTTTAACAAAGATCGTTGGTAATGGTTTTTTCGAATATGATATAGTAAATATTCTCTAATCGATTTTAAGAATTCTCGTTTCATTCGTTCGATCATCGGTTAAATTTTCTATTAAGCAGTAAACAAGTTGTAAACAAATTTTTTTTTTCGAAATCTACCTGTAGCGTTGTTGGCCTCACGAGAAGGATCTGCAATGGTAAAAATTTAGACTTTAATCAAGTTCAAGCTTTCATTAGAGCATTGTGATTAATGTACCTGGTTGTAGACCATGGTGATTCGTTAGATGGAATTATTTTAATGGGAAACTATCACCATTTGAGTCCTATTCGTTGGTTGTCATGCCTACCTTTACTTTTCGTTATGAGAGACCTTCTGTGATCTAAATTTTCTAGTTCTGAGCTTGTATTCTCTTTAGTTTGCACACAAAAACGAGTTCGAATATGGAAAAACAGATGAAGTCAGTTCAGACGCGTAATTTGTTTCGAAAATGTTATTGGTCGCATTGGACTGATGGATTCTATGCTGTTTTTTCTTGAGAAGAATTACTTCAGGAGACGGACGCGTCAAGCATTCTTGACGACGAATCTCACTACAGTGCAATTGTTCACTTCAAACCAAGCAAGGTTTGGTCTTACCATATTTGTTTGGGTCATTTTCAAATCTGTTTTTCAACGAATTACCTGTGCTCAGGTTTTTTTTTTATCAGGATGAGGAGTTCGTGTGTTTCCACTGCGAGCATTTTTAGTGAGCGATAACTGAAACTGAGTTGTAATGAAAAGGGTTGTTTTCCTTTTCATTTTGACTTTCTGGCATTCAAAAATTGGTTTAAGGTGTTATCAAAATTACTAATAACCTAGATCAGGGATTTCATCGGTGTGCTTCATTGATAGCACAAATCTTCCCAGCAAATGATAACACAGTTTTCCGAAAAGTTAGTGGGAATTGTGCAAGCTCTAAAGAGAGGAATCGAAGACGCTAATTCGTATAAATTTCTTTTTAGGCAAACACTAAACGAATCGCAATAGCACCACCAGTACCTGGGCTCTGGAAAGTGGCTAACGCAGATGAATTTATCAGCAAGAATAAGCAACTTGTCAGGTGAGGAAGCCAGCACGCGGTTTGACTTAAATGGAGTAATAAATAAATACCTAACGCAGATTATAAATGGAAATAAATACAGTAACTCTGTTGCCATTAGTCGACAGCTGAACCTGGTTGACTGATGAAAACTTCGTCGTATTTCAAGCGCTTGGTTTGATCTCTATATATTCGGTTTGCTATACAATTTACTAGAAAACAGTTCAGTTTCCTTTCATGATAATAGAAATACGTCGGCTTCCTGAGGTTGCGGACTTGCTAGCAGACTCGTTGGGGTAGGCCTGTGCCTAGTTAGTTGCTTGTACCTCCGTAAACGCATTCTCTAAGATATATATCCCTTCAGGACGATCGATTGGGTGTCCAAACGGTGATATTTCTATCCGGGAAATCCCCACAATTTATTCCTACTTCACATTGCAGGGCTGTTACGATCTCAGCAATTTTATACGTCAGTCATGATTTGCATACGGGAGGCTCTTCATGATGACTTATCATTACTCAAAAATGTTTCGAAGTTTCTATCTCTAAGACTCCAAGAAGAGAGAAAGCAATTGGATTAAAGCTTTTCGATCGTTTCAATACACAAAAATGCTTTCACATGGTTTTTGCTTTACTGCTTCAGTGTTTTCATTGTATTTTTTTTGTAGGAAATAAGTCCCCATCATATAGGTCACCTTGTGAAGAGGCGACAACTGTTGTATGGACGGTCCGTCCACACGATACTGTACGCAGGATATTGATACTTCCTAAACGATGTGTGGCTTTAAATTACGTGAATAAGAAGGACAAAGCAAAGGCTGTTCTTCCGGGAAAAAGTGGCATCAAAAAGGATGAAAAAAAGGAGATTAGCGAAGTCGTTAAAGATCAGGAGTCAAATAAGAAGACCTCTAGGATTAAACGGCTTGTAAGATTTTCTCTTCCAAAATAATTATTTCCAGAATTTTTATGCAACTAATTTAGGTTGCTATGAAATCAAAACCGACTGAGCAGGAAAGTGAAAAGAAAACAGAAGTTATCGAGGAGAACAAGAAGTGTACTAAAGAATTGGTTCCTTCGAAAATTAAAGATGAAGTCGACCAGGTAAACAAGTCGCAATCCAGAGAAGTAAAGGTTGTTGGGGAGACTGAGCAAAAAACACCACAGCTGAAAACAGTGAAACCCAAAGCCAAACAAGAGCAGCCGAAAGAGGAAAGTATTGAGGTACTTCACTTTAAACCTTCACTTTTTCCTCCTTTTCATTTTATTTGAGGTCGGAGTCATCTTTCGTATTTCTGTTCTGTCGTCTTCTCAAACAAGTTCTTATCCTTATGTCGCATTCTTTATCCGATCTTACTGTTTTCTTTGCGGTCTTTATTCCTTCTCTCTCTCTCTCTATCTTTTTCTATCTGTCTACCTATCCATCTATCTATCCATCTCTATCTCATCGTGGCAGCTCCTTGCTTGTCTCCCTCTTTAGCTTCCTAATTGTTCGATCTAAAAAGGGCATCGTCCCATTATATCTCAATCGTTATTATTATTAACAATGTTAGAGTCCTAGTCGTTTCAGATGTTGGTTAATTTGAGATCGAAAGCTGTACATTCGCAAGAAGTCACAACAGTCCGTGAACTACCTCTCAGGTACGATGTTGTTCACTTATTTGTATCTGTTGTAATAGTTGGACTATTGAATACTACTGAAGCTAGACTTCGTTAAATTTTTAATATTGAGCTTCAAACATTGTATAGATATCCAACAGTTTCAGGTTATCGTTCAAGCACCCACAGAAAATTCGAGAAAAAATGCCGTTGGTTACAGAATCCGTCACGGAGACATTCACCAAAAAGCCTGCAAAGCTCACCTTTGCGAAGACGCTTATGGAAAAGAGGTGGTTAGAACCCTTTTAAAGTATCTACCTCTAATATAAAATGTGTGATATGTATTTTAATATTTGCATGGCCCAGCCTCTACTCTGTTTTCATACTTGAGCTATCGCTTCTGAAAACGAAAGTAATAATAGTTGTCTGTTATGGGAGTAATATAAGCTTTTCCTCCATGAGTTGAATTTTTTATGAGTTCAGGTTAACGGAGTCCGTGTTCTAATAGTAAAACCTTCTTTGCTTTTCATGTTGTTCCTCTCTTCACACATCCGGCCTGAATCTTCTAAATTTCGGACGATATGTGGTTTGTAGCGGAATCTATATTGATATTTATTTTATTTTATTGGTATCTATTTTGTTGTTGATAATATTATATTAGTATAATAATATTATTAATATACTTGAGACTTACTTGATACTTGAACGGCCCGTCATTACTAGTTGTGCGGGCCCCAGCATAATCACCACTTTTCGGAGATTTGCTGGTTAAGCCCTTGTGGTTCCCTGGAATCCCGCCGACAGCCTGGCTAAAGTCTGCCCCAGGATGTCACCACGACAGCCAGTCGCAGCCCTTATGGATCAGAAGGAGATTTACCGCCATGCGATTTTGATACCAAGACGGTGGTGGATCCTGGTATTGGTTTGCTCTTAGCTAGGCTTCCTGATGGAAACGCCGGACTCCTCAACTTGGGAGACCCTGCCGGCCGGGCGAATCCCCCGCTGTACATCGCAGTCCGACACCCAGGGACACCTCCCAGCCACGGTGAGGCGGTAAACCGTTGGGAGGGTTAATAATATAATATATAATAATATAGTAATATAAATAATATAATAATAATTTGGTATCTATAATCCGATATTGTATCTATCTTATCGAATATGAGAGGCAGAATTCAATAGCGTTGCTTTTTTCGCTTGCCAACATAGTTTCGTCGTACAGATAAGTGACAGGGTTTGATCATCTAAGCCAATGTGTGTGTTTCTTTTACGAATGGAACCTAGGTCTATGTACACAACCTGCCTTTGGGATATCGTTGAACTACAATGACCTATGCTTCCTTTTTAAGGACACATTCGAGTACTTGTCTGATTCTCCACGAGATAAAGCGACCGAATAGATCAGTAAGAATTAGGAACGTTTCCTTAAAATGCGTTGTCTTTCACAAGACGTAAAATCTAAAATCGTTTTATTTGTGGTTGGTTGGTAACGGTTCTATTCATCTATTGATATGCAAGATATCACCTACTATTTGGTGATATCCTGATATGTTATAGAATTCATGAAGGTGTGAAAGAAACCGCATCTTCACGTCGGATTCTACCACTGGAATTATCGAGGAAAGTACTAATGGCTGGCCACCATCTATAACTCTAAACATCAAATTGTTTTCGTAATCTCCAAAGAGACCAAAGATATTAATGTTTTAGCTGAAGTGGAGATCGCTGTGCTTAGCAAATGAGGGTTTTTGAATAGCGATATCATTTAGCCGTCCGTCTTTGTCATGCCATATACATCGTCTTCTGATTCTATTTCGGAAGACATTGATTAGGCGCGATGTAGGTGGCGCTTAGATTTCTTTACATGTTGGAATTATCACTCCATATCTCAGCTACTTATCATAGCGTTAGAGAACTGGTTAGTCGAAAAGGTGAGCGCGGATTTCCGGGTCCTCCCATTGATCGATGGCTTCTCTAAAGCCCGAACGTGCCTAGTGCTGCTCTCCATCTATTGCAAAATTCCTCCTTTATGTCGCTTTCAGTGAACACCCTAGTGTATACATGCGCGCTGTAGCATCTTTAGTCAAGGAACCATGCTGCCTAAATTCTCACGCTTGGCTTGTCATATGTTACTTAAAGGAAAAAACCTTTTTACTAAGCTTAGTAATTAAGGAAATCCATTTCATCAACTTCATATTCATGCAAAGAATACTCGAAGAAACGGACTGCCTGTAATTGTGAGCTGGTGCGAAAATCCCAACAACACAAGGCGCAGGTGAGATGAGCATTCAGTTAACATATATTTCGAAAGAATCTATGGGTTCTCTTACAACATCAGAAAGGGTACTTTCCAAAATACATCGTAGTAAATCTCGGAAACATGTCAAGTGAGTAGTCTAATTTTATCGCTGGAAGGTCTTGAAGGAATGCAACGCTTCGACAACATTTAACGCAGAGTCGCTTCAATAATCGGATAGCATCTCATCGATCACCTGTAGAAGCGTATTTTTCTAGGCTTACGATCTGGAAGCTTTTACGAAAAAGGAGAAACTTCTTAGCGAAAATTTTCATACGAGAATGATGATAATATTGCTTTTGCTTTGTATGCTTGATGCGAATTGTTTTTGTAAGAGGAAAATTTTATTCCTATCAAGTTTTTTATATGTGTGCTGTCCTAGTATTGATATAGAGAAGGAAAAATGCAATTAATCTTTTGTTTAGTTTAATCTGTTCATTTACCCTTTATGTTTTGCGACAATGTTATTCAGGTGACCGTTGACAGGCCAATCCCCGGCGTGAACACCTGCTGCGTTCGCTTAAGAGTGAGGCGCGCCAAAAAAATTTTGTAGGTTTTTCTGGTTTCATCTTTTCATTTCTCTTTCCAATCGATTTTCTTTTCTTAGTTTAATATTTTTACACTTGTTCATTGCACCTTCGACTTTGAAGTGAACTGCTGTAGAAACATTAGAAGCTTAACTTGCATGTACCCGTGCGAGTAGCACTCACTGTCTAAAAAATAGCGTTGCTTTAAATGCGTTTACAACGCTTTTCCAACCGAAGTCTTTATCTGGATCCTAGGATGATGTATATTCAGTTTTTTAAACTAAATCATATTGGATGTAATAATAAGTGAAAGTTAAACACCATATAGAAAGAGACCTATTTATTTTAGACATTTCTGCTAGCTTTATCCCATCTAAATATCCGGGTTGAGGTGTTTCTAGTCAAATGTTCATGTCCCAATACAACAACCTTGCATAGTTCTTCCTCTAATTTGGAATGAAATATAGCTCAATTTTTCGCTCTTCAAGGCCAACACGCATTGGTAGTGTGGCGACCACTAAGAATTGTGCGAGCAGCGACAATGAGCGAACTCATCCGCTACCAGTGAGTAAAGCATTTGAGGCAAGTTCTTTTCGTTATTTAAATGGGTTAGTTCTCCTTGCTCCAGCTTGAACCACTGTGGTAGGATAGGGTATTTGATAGGATGATTGATTTAATGCCTTTTGGAAATAGTTCAAACAAATTCCTCATAAATGTAGTGCTCCAAGCTCGAAGGAGTAGATTGGGATTGTGAAATGACTACTTGTTTTTCAGTGCTGCATTGGTCTCTGGTCTTGTGACCGTGGGTGTTGAAGCGAACGTTGTTGATTCGCTAAGAGATCAAGAAAATCCAAAAAAATATTTTTAAAAAATTAAGAAAAAATTTGAAAATTCAAAGATTAAAAGAAGAGCGTGTTTTATACTGGTTCGCTTGGAAATTGATGCAGTGCTTCCACTTTTTCATTGGGAAATAATTTATTCTAGAAAGATTTTCGCCTCCCGATTTTGTATTTTGGAAATATAACGTTCGTCCATAGATTATTGCTTGCTTCTCAGGTCTCGAAGTGAAATAATAATTTAATTTGAAGTGATAATTGATACTTTGAGGTACCAGTGATAGCGGTGAGGATTTTGTCAGTACCGACGCATTAATAATCTTAATCCAGCCACAACGGTGCTGAGATATTTGCAAAACTCCGGACCACAGGTGTATGCAGTGGGGTAGATGGTGTAGTGGTGAAGTGCGCTGCTCGCCGGTAAGGACAACAGCGCGTGTTCGTTCCCCACTGCATACACCTGTGGTCCGGAGTTTTGCAAATATCTCAGCACTTCATACGAGTTATATTTCACAACATACCCTGCCATTAAGAAGAAAAAGGCAATAAATAAAAAGAGTTAAGATTTTATCGTAATATTATATTTTAATGTGAGTCAACAGAATCATTACGAATGACTGTAGATTTTATTCTTAGACTGCAAAAAAGCGATTGTACGACATCGCTTTGGAATCTTGAACTGCAGTCGCGATGACATTATAACGGCGTTTATCAGAAACTAGTTAACGTCAAGCCATAAACGAATCCGGTCGTAGAACTCTCCAATATTCCGGCCATCTTTCTTAATGCAGTTGTTCAGAAAGGAGACAACTCGGTTCAGTCTTTTTAATTGCGTTGTTTTTAAAAGTTTTATGCCTTTATACCCATACTGTGCAGGGTTTCAAAGTGCAGATTTCGTTCTCTTTGTTTTAAGATACGGTTTTGTGTCGTTTTACGTTTGTGTAGTTTAAAATTTGTAATTTGATTGGAGTAAGAGAGGAAAAAGCGAACCCATCGTCTCATCATGGTCTTATATAAACCCAGTCCAGCAACCAAATCGCGGCGTGTATATGACCACAGCAAAGTATCGTTAGGGGTCTGAAACTCATACAACTTCACTTCCACTTGCGTTGCCATTCTGAACGAATTCTAATCAACCGTGTCGTCCATAATGTATGAATACCCTATAATTTGTTAACCTCTTTCCTTAGAAAAGAAAACCGAAAGTGATATACGAATTGGTGGAACTGTCTCAATTTGATGTTTGTATGGAACTGTATTTTTATTCGACTTTAAAGTTGTGCAGTCTGTCACTCCTTATTAACAACAAATGAAATTTGGCTAATTTTCTTTCAGTTCTGGTTTATTTCCTTAAGTTTCATAATGGATGGGCGGCTGTGGCGCAGTGGTCGGAGGCGCTGTTCAACACACACGTGGACTCGATACCCGCGCTTATGGCCCACCAAGCCTTCCATCCCTCCAGGGTCGGAAAATTGGTGCCAGACTTGTCTGGGAGGATAGCAGCACTGGCTCCATACATCGGTAGGCCACCGCTACTCATCGTAAAGGCAAGATATACATTCAATCACCTCCAAATGATGCTTAATGAAGTCGTGGCGCGTCCTTAAGGGGTTTATGAATACCAAGAGCTTCATCCTTTATCTTTTATCCTTTATGTTTCACAGTTTATTTCTCATTGTGCTTTAGAATGTTTCCTAACAAGTCTTCACGATCATACTAGTTTCTAGACAGTTGTCGATAATTTTTCGATATTTGGAATACTTTAGAGCAGATTTATAGAGAAGATTGCCTTGCGTTTTAAAGGTCGCAATTCACCTATGAAGATTCTATTTCATGCTTAAATTTGTTTGGAAAGATTTTCCAGAAAAGTAACTGGAGGCGAGCGAAGTTCTTTACATTCTTGGCAATCGGGGTAGTAATCTTAAAGTTCTTTCCTAATCAATCTTAATCTGTCCTTTTTTTCTCAATTTAGAACACGACACCGTCGTCGTCACAACATCTCGCTGACTCTGTTGTGCTCGACGACGCGAAGAGCGACGAAAAAAGACACGAATGGTCTTCTATCAGTAGACTCGCTATTGAAGAGGTTCGTTACATTTCCTGATTGTTTTCGTTAATTTGTAATTACTAATACATTTGAAACTTTTGACAAAGTGTATTTGGTCAAAATGATACACAGATAGCGCTTTTGAAGAAATTTATCGTGAGGAAACTAGAAGTGAGCTAAACATGTTATCATCGATATTCTTTCTTAGGTACTAAGATTACCTATTTTCGCCTAAACGCATATTCCAACTTCGTTCTATTACAACAGTTCTGCATAGATGTTGTCGGCTTAGTTTGTAGATCCGGTTTCTCCTTAACATCTACCATCTTCTCTTCTCATTGACATGTTGGTTGCTGATTGAGTTCAGTTTTTTCTGAAATAGCCTTTACTAGACTGTTCCCACGTTTTCACCACAGACAAGTGTCAGCCTTTGCTTATCGGAGTGATGTTTGCTATCTACCCAGTGACTGGTATCGTTCTTACGTGACTGAGTAGTCGAGGGCGATGTGACAAGTCGAATGTTCGCCGTGCAGAAATGTTTTCAATAGTTCCGCTCACGTTTCTAAGATTTGTGGAATCAGACAAGAAGCCTCGCTATCCAGAAAGCGGCAGAATCTTACATTAAATTTGCGAATTCCTTCTAGTGGAAGCGATATTTGGGTACGTTGAGCATGTCTGGTTGTAAAAAATAAAGATTCTTATGCATAGTACGACATCATAATGAGTTTCAAATCTGACTATGCGAAGACTAGATCTAACCCTGCAATGTCCCTCGGCTCTCAATCTCTCCGCCGTCGTTCCGGTTTATCGAAATCCTCAAGAAGTCGACACGTCGTTCGGTTCTCACGTCATTTGTCGTTCTGAAATATTGAAGTCCGCATCCAGCGAGAGTTTTGCGATATTCAGTTAAGAGAAATGTATTGGATTGTCCAAGTTCACACTTCCAGTCATGTAGTCATGATTTTCGAAGTCATGGTGCAAAATCGGGTTTATTCGCCTGGAAACTCGTAAATCTTCGTAGCCACATAGTTTAAAGAATCGACAATCTCGACATTACTACATAACCCGCCATCTGTCCTCACTGGCCGGCTAACCAAACGCACTCGCCTAGCCGACTTTCCGATTTCCCGGAAGCCAGCAGCGGCTTTAATGTTCTCGGGTTCTCGGTTACACAAACAGTTACACTAGATAGAATACACTTGGCTTTTTAGCCTGCTTAAGCAGCTTTACTTTGTTGCTGTTTTCCAAATCATTCAAAGTATTCTTAAGAAGTTGTTATGTTTTTTTGTCTGGCAAAAACATTTCCAAGCATCTATCACAGCTTCGCATCCGCAGGAAAAAAAAACACGAACAACGCAAGTCGTTCGTGCTTTGTTCGAGGATGAGTGGGAATCTGCTGTCGGAGACAGTATGGTCATGAATTATTCCTGTGAATAGCAGCCATATAAGTTTGGGCATAGCTTAGATGTTTTTGGGCTTAAGTCCACTGTTTCCTATCCAATACAAATTTGTGAAGCGTCAGCTATATATATATATATATATATATATATATATATATATATATAAAGTATGTACACACAAATACACATAAGTGTATATATATATATATATATATATATATATATATATATATATAATATGGAACTGGTGTTTGAAATCAATTAAGGCCAGCAAATCCTTTTGATTTCATTCGAAAAACACTTTTGATGCTTTATTATCATTAGAAGTGGTGTGGAAATCATAGAGGTGTTTTCTGATATTTTCTTTGTTCATGACGTTATTCATCTTAAATTGAGCATAAAAGCTCCACCCCATAGAAGTGCATAGAAACCTTTAAACTTCAACTGCGAAAATAAAAAATCGCTGCAAAGTTCCAGAATATTTGAATTTGATACGACTTTATAATACTATAAAGTGGTTATAAATGAAAGTAATAAAAGAAAGTAATTCCTACACGTCATATTTTATTCACAAGGAATGTTTCCTTCTTCTTTGACTTATAGTCATTTTCCTCTTTTTTCCTTTTCTTCTTCGAAATTGTAAGTATTTTATTTTATGGTTTCTTGTTTTGATTTATTTTATTTATGAGTAACCATGAAGATTGTCAGTTGTGACTTGGCTACTTATATTTGCGTGTCGCATCAGTAGCTGATTTCTTTATCAAATCAAGTAATGTTATCCTATATTTATTATTCAGTTTTATGTTTTATCAAACACTTAAATTCTCTGAAATCCATTAAGATTTATAGAATTTCCCAAAAATCTATCTGTACAAGAAGTTTCACGGTTACAACCGTAGTAGTGCTGAACACCTGAACTCTACTTGGAAAGAAATCAACGTTGTGAGCGGCTATTTTTAGGCGGAGATATTTAATAACTAACGAATGGGCCTGATTACTGTGTAATAAGGCGCCAGATTAATAATATGAGACAGATAGACTAGTAGAAAGCTCCAGTTTTTTTCTTGCGGTCGAACAAACATCTAACGGACTATGTGTAATCGTGTTTGCAAGATAACGAAGCGATGACAAGAAGTGCAGAGGCGGCTGGCTGGACTGCGTTGAGCAATAGTCGTCGATGTCGATTCGCTCGTTGACGGGTGGACGGATAGTCGCTCCTTTGCTCTGTCGTCGCTAAACGCTGATGAAGATGGGACCGTTCGTGAGAGTACGATGGAATACTGTGAGATCTATCATCACTGCTCGACCCACCTAGTCTGCTGCCAGCTGATCAGACCAGATGACATCCACTATCATATTGTAACGTGTTGCGTATTGCTTTAAACAGTCCGAGTTTATCGCTATTCAGTACTAATCGTTACTGAAAGTTTGTCCACCTTGAGCGCTTTGTCATGATTAAGGCTAGATATGTCTGTTCTACTATTTTACCACAACTTGCAGTTCATTCGATTTCATCAAGATCGTTCCCGTAGCTGCAATTTTCTGTCTATCAATTAGTGTTCTCCTTCGTTTGGCCTCGTCTTTGGATAACATGTGTGGATATGCAAAAATTTTCATCTCACATTATTTTGCAGTTAGTTCTCTCCTTGTTGAAGCATTCCACATTCGCGCAGCTGTCGTAATCTGGTTATACAAAGTGGCTTTGTTGAACGGATGCTCGATCATCTGTATCACCTGTAGTCCCGTTGATGAGCGAGTGACTCGAACGGGCGCCAATAAATCTTCTATTTTTCCCTGTCGCGTACAAGAGTACCCCAGTAAGTTCTGCTCGCTCTAGAGACTCGTCTACCATCATATCTTTCTTCTAGGCTCTTCGTTAAGAACTCTGACCATCGGGTCGGTGGTCTTCCTGCAGTACGTTTGACATCCCTAGGAATCCAGTCACTAACGGCTCTTGTCCATCGGTTGTCATTCATACGCATTACGTGTCCGGCCCACCTTATCTTCGACTGTTTGGCGTACAGAACGGCATCTTTAATCCTTGATCGTCGACGCAGGTCGAAGGTTCGGATCCCATCCCTTATTTGTGTGAAACGGGATACTTCTAGTATCGTCCTTTCGACTGCGCGTTCGATAACGCTAAGTGATCTTTCGTCTTGCTTACGCAACTACCAAGTTTCTGACGCATGCGTTAGAGCAGGAAGTGCCGTTGAGTTGAAAAGGTGAACACGGAGTCGGGTGTTCTTTGTCCACTTCACTACATTCTCGATGCTCTTGAAAGCTTCCCAAGCCGCTCGTTAACGGATGCTTGGTGATTCGATAAATGCAAATGTTTTCTTTGTTTGTTTGAAAGTCTAATAAGATAGAGCCAGAATATTGCTAAAATTTAAACGTGTACACATCATTCATATATTTGACATTCTATGTACACGAATCGTGTCTTCGCTAGCACTATTTCCATTTCTGGTTCAGTAAGTATTTTACTGGCTTAGCTTTTTTTCCCACGATTTCCTATATAACCATGGCAGTCGTAGTCCGACGTGGATTGGGAAATGGTTTGCTGGGTTTTGAACACCTACCTTTGGTGAATCGGGAAACCTTTGAGGGAGTGATATACTAGAGGTATATAGTGGATTTATGGTTTGATATTGATAAAGGGTGGTGGATTTAAAGGAGAACAAAAGCAAATGAACTCTTATGCTGTAAGTAAATGAGATTGAAAAATCAGTTTTTTCCTCTTAAATGTGGCTTGCTGCTGACTTCGTATTGAATTTTCGCTTGCTGGTTATGAATGCTTCTCAGCGTGTTATACATCATCATCTTCTCAAGAATTTTGGCTATTTAATGGAAATCGTTTTTATTTAATCGTGGGAAATGCTTTGACTTATTTTTTGTAATTACAAAGGAAGGAAGATATTTTTTTTTGTTTTAGGAGTATAACAGTGCAGGCTGTCTGGTGCTACCCGATAAATCACTACTCGAGGAACACGTAAGCAGGTGCAGTTGTAGTGAATCACCTCTATCAAACCCCCTAGTTTTTGTTACTTCTTCGGTTTTGTTCTATTATTTTATATTTTTCTGCTAAAATAATGCACAGACGTTCTTGTAAGCTTTTCATTATTTGGTATTGTTTTCTCGTCATATACTCAACTTCGAATAATTTACCTGTTTTAGGCAGTTCTTCTGTTATTATAAATTAATAATATTAGTTAGGTCTTAGGGGGCGGATAACGCAGTGGTTGTGATGTCCGTCATCATGAGCATGGTGCTAGTTCGATTCCACCCGGACCAACCAAACTTCTCATCCCTCCGGGGTCGGAAAATTGGTACTTTTCTGGGAAAAAAATCACCGTGCGCAATCAAATTGGGAATGCTACAGCTCAACTATCTCAGGGCTAAAGAGAGAATCGACTCGACCAGCATTTTATGACGTTCAAGATGAGTTGAAAATCCTCAAGCATCAACCGAAGCCACATGTAAAGTTGGAAGATCTTCGTGTACAATTGATGCGAGGAAACGAATCGATTGTGAGAAGCGCTAAGATCCGGATTGTTGACGTGAAGACGGGTCATATGAAATAAAATAAAAGAATGTTTAGGTTTGAGGGCGAAGATATCTACAATATTTGTTTTGGTTTCAATGTTTCATCAATAACGTGCTTGGAATATTCAATGTTTGTAAAGTGGCCAGATTTGTTTCTCATTTTTTTCTCATTGCCTTTGTTTTTGCTGGTCAATTTTAGCAGAAGCTCATTGAGATTATCTGTTATTCGAAAATCAAGTACTGGAGGAGCAAAAATGTGAACAAGTAGTCTAGTTAGTAAGCAAAATGTGCAGGAGGATCTTGCATTAGTTCAAAAACAGTGGATTTCCTTTAATTTGATTTCTGGTGGTTTTTCTGGATTTCTCATCACTGCTGTAAGAAGCTCGTTTAAACCCGCTTGTATTACAATTTTCGAATCGATTGTTTCACTGTTACAAAACGAAGTCAAGAAACTATTGGAGCGATTGTTGTTTTAGAAAGAATTCCCTTAGAAAAAAATGTCTGGAATTTTTTTTGCTTTTTTCTCCATAAAAAGTTATTTCATTAATATATTGACATTTTCTCAGTTAATCTTATTCCTAGCCTTCTGTCATGTTGTTTAGCAACCGCGGTCGACTCGGAGACGAGGAGCCAACCTTGGTGGGGAATGAGCCGCGCCGTGACTCACCAGCAAACTCCATAGCTAACGAGATCTTGCCAGCTTGTGCAAGTAATGTCTGGTTTTTTTTTTCACTACTTCGATTCCTACTGAAATTATCGGTTAAGCTGTAAATGTGTTTGCTTAGTGTGAGTTTATTGAGCATATCAAGGATATCGAGAAATCTAGGACACTAGAAATATTTTTTATTCGAATGTATAAACTACGAGCATCGAAGAGTTTTGGTACGATGACTAAGTTGGATTAGCTGTGGTAATCATAACTGTGAGTATGCTGTGAGGTATTACTGACTAAAAAGACGCTACGCCTTCTTTATAACCTTCATATTTATGAGTTGTTTTGTTGGTGTACTGCGTAGTTTTAGTACGAGTTTTCGAGTGCAGTCCGCACGGAGTGCCAGTGATCACCGCACCATCGAGAAGCGTTTCGCAACTGAGCGGCGGGTGCAGTGCTGAACACACCACCACACCAACCGTCATGCTCGACACTCTCTCATCGTACAACAATTACAACTCAACCCCTCAGGGTTTCTTACGGTATGGCATTAGGATATAATGGACTGGTATTCATTTTTGCTATTTTAGGTGTTTAGGGTTTGTGGTAGTACGTCGGTATGAGAAGTGGTAATGCAGAACATAAATTTAAGGAAGTTTATTTTGATTTGATTCGTCCCAGTTGTGGATAACATCGCCGTCCCAGGGTCGTTCTTCAGTTGAATTCGTTCACTTGCGGCCATCCACGATAGTATCTCTCTTTGTGTTTGACTTCGACTGCCGTTCGATAATTTACCGTCTTCTGTTTTTATCAGCATATTCGATGTTAGTCGAAAGTGATTCTCCGTGAAATCCTGAGACAGCCGTGCTAGATTGTTGTAGCGTTTTCACCACAAGCAGTCGGCTACCCTTGTAAAAGGTGGAAAAGTTTGCAGCCTCGTGTTTATGACTACTTGTGATCGTTGTGGTGGCATGGACTCATACGAACAGTTGAGGACGATCTTAACAAAAACACTAGCAACACAATTTTATAGGACAAATGAGAAAAAAAACGGCGGGAATGGGACAAGAACCAGACCATTTCTACTACATTTCCTTAGTACTTTGTTGTTCTGGACAAAAATCGTATGTTGCCATTGCAGAAACGCGAGGGTATACTTCTTCGGATAGCTGTTTAAAATTCTATCCAGACTGTGAATTAAGGTCTTGCTGATGCCAGCTTGAGTTACTTAGTGATAAGAAGTTTTACAGGTAACAGATAACAGGTAATGGCATTAGTGAATAGTAAGAACAACATGTGATATGCAGCGTGTCAACGGTTTATAATTAAAATTTTTAACCCTCCAAAAATTTGTGGAGTCGTCTAAGTGTTCATTGAGCTATAAACTAATTGACCTATTTCACCGCTGCAATCAATCTACGAGTGATAGCAGAAAATTTCAATAAATATCACTGTTTGTACAAATGACTCATCTATTGGTAGTACCTAATAGCACAAAATGTTGTGACATCATCACCCAGAAGTTGGCAGAACTAGGGATATCGGTGATCCGAATAAAGAATGCTCTACGCTATTGAACGACACAACTACCATAAAGTTTTGAAATTAGAGAAGAAGAATAGAAGAGAAGTAAACAGGCAGTTGCTCGAGGGAAAAATTTACCATCCTCAAATTTGAAACTGGAGGCTGGATTTTTTACTAGACTTTAGTCTAATCGGCAGTTTGTCGAAGAGTTCACATCTTTCGCTGACACACGAGTCGAAATCGCTAAACTGATATCATTCGATGCATCAAAGACGGCTTTCTAAAATCGACAGTTTGGTGAAGAACTCACATCTTTCAGTGACGTGAACGCACGAATCCAAATCACTAAGCCGATCGCATTTGACACACCAAAGACACCCTTCGAGGAACGAGTTCAGCAACAAGCAAATGCCATACGAAAAGCAGCGGCCACCGCCGCGGCCACTACGACCAACGACGGACCGGTAGGTTGCTTTGGAATCGCAATAGGTCATTTTTAGCTTTAATAAATAACAGCATACAATATCGCGTTCGCAAATATTCCCATTCATAAAAGTACGTGATTGTTCGTGATGAATTCCGTATATATTCAGATAAATCACGGGAAGCATACCGAGTGTCAGACTCTCTTTTGGAAAATGACCAGGTTTCATAAGTGGTCTTTTTGTAACATTGTTTTCAAATTGATTTCTGTTCGTTTTCTGATTAAGGTCTCTAGTCGAAAGGCTAAAGGCTTAAAGGCTAGGTAGTCTACCCTAGTCTTTTTCGCGTTTAAGTGGTGAATAAAACAAATCCATAAACGCAGAGTGGTCCATGCTGCAATGACATTGCTCAAATGCATTCACGAAAAATTAGTGAATAAATCAGTCGTGACCGGTTTGATAACAAATTTGAAAAAAGGTGCTGAATTGTTTCGCCCATTTCCTACACCATGAGAGACTGGGGTGATCTGGGCTTTTCGTCAACCATGTTTAACCACAAATTGTATAGAACGTTTCGCTGTTCAGCAATCCCTGAGGGTGCGTCATGCTTTTGTCATTTTATCAAGTAGCGTGCAGGTGATGGAATGCATATTTTCTCTATACAATAACTTTTGGGGACCAACCGATATACAAACTCTGCTTTTTTTATCTTCACAGACAAGTCTGGTAACAGTCTCTCTTCCACGGACGTATGGAAGACTTAATGAGTACGGAGCGCGAGATGAAGCCGGCAACCGGTCCAGCGTATATTGCAGGACATCTTTAACCACTATGTTGCTCAGGACAAGCTTGTTATAGAGTCCGATTTAACGTATTAATTTTCTAAATGGTGTAGCTGATAGAATAAGAGTCATTTCGTTATTACTACTTAAATGGCCGAATTGAAACTTTGGACTCTCATTCTGGTGGCCTTGTTGATAGGCTGCCATTCAGCTTGTGTTTGCCTTTACTAGAGCTTCAAATGCCTTGAGTTTACACAGAAAACTTGTCAAGTTTCATTTAAGCAGTCTTTGCTTGCTTTTTAGTTCTTCGAATTTGCATCGAAGACAATTCGTTAGTCACTTGGCCATTATTACAGTTTTGTCGCTGTGTATGCGCAGGGAACTGCTTTATTGACAACTTTCAGTGTGGCTCTACAGTCTTTCGCGAGAGATTTTGCTTTTTTGACTTGATGGGTTTGTGGATTTCGCACTAATGTCCTGAGAAATTTTGGGTATTCGGAAGATTTTGGTGTTAAGAAACTGAAAAAAGTTTGCGAAACCTCAAAAACGTTTTATCCAGTTTTTCCTTCCAGAGAAAATGCGAGTAAAATATTGTCGTAAATTTTTCGAAAGCGGAAAATTAGCGCTCTCACTATGAAGCGCTTCTGTGATCGGAATACTTCAAAGCATTAACAACTCGTGATAAATCCAACAGTCACGTGTTTGCTTCCTTCTCGACTTTTTTGGCCGTGGAAAATTTTTTTCGGCCATTTTTTGTGGTGTATCCGTTGGCTCTAGCGATTACTTATGTCTCCAAAACGGCGGATCCCAGGTGACGAAGCTGCTTCACTGTTGTTGAAAAGTGTCTGTGTATTGGTTAGATAAGAGTGTTGGTTGGGTGTTATTGACTCGGATTCGAACACACGACGATATCTGCCTATTCGTCTGTCCGTTCATTGCTGCGCGTTCGCAGTCCCGCTTCCGTTCTCTATCAGTTACACTGTGCTCCACATTCGAAATCTTCCACTCTCAAGCTCTTGTTTTTTAGATCTTAAGAATTCTCTTCTTAACCGATCTAAACACTTGCATTTTAATCATTTCCTTAAATATAACTGGTTAAATTATCAATAATACACCTCGCTTTCATTCAGACGACGATGTTTATGAGATGAACACAAACGAGATTGCGATGATTCGATTACGAAACTTTTGAAAGAAATTCACTGAACTTCAAGTTTTATAGAGCAAAGTATTAACCGGCTACAAGATCAGCTGGAGTTTTATTTCTTCAGTAAACTTCGTCGTTATGGAATCCCGATAGCCTCGAACAGTTTAAAAAAAAGCTATAAGTCCTTATTTTATGGATTTCACTGGGAAGGATAATTGTGAGTATGAAATCGTTCTCTGTCTTCAGACGAGCACTGCATAGCTATTAACACTGCCCACCCACATGTGCTGTATAGTGATTTATGCCACAATGAAATATGTTTAACCATTTGCTCTTCGGCTTTCGACTAGGTTTTTCGAAGGATTTGCAAAAAAGAAGGCAATCGAAGCGCGTTTATTGGATATAGTTAGGCTAACGTTTTGTGATAACAGTACGTTGAGAAATTTCCCGGTGATAGTCGACAGGCTATCATTGGAAAAACTGGGCATGAAAAAAGCGGAATGGAATTATGATCAATAACTATATGTTGCACATGTTTTATCAAATGTTCATCGTGCCTTACGTATTTCCACTGTGCCACGATTGGCGACGAGATAGAAAGGAATGGCTAGCAGTTTGTGATGCTTTTGATCCGATTTATATAATTGCTCATCTTTGTTTGTGCACTCACTGGTCTTGTCACTTGTTAGGCTGCATTCACTACCATCACAGACGTTGTTTGTTTGGTTTGTTTTTTCATTTTCTGGACAACACCTCTTAAAGCAAATTTATTGAGTACATGTTGGAGACTTGACATAAGTGTTTTATATCAGAGTAAGATTATCTTGGATGCTGTTCGCTGGATGTGTATATTGCATGTGTCGTGAAATGTTTTTCTTTCGACAGCTGCACCTTTGCTGCTGCCGATAGCGAAGTTCGAGAACGGCATCTGTCGTCCTGTCAGTCATTAACATAGTTCTGTTATTTTAGCGATGTCTGATATACCAGAGCGCGCACCTACATCCTCATTTTAATGTTTTCTTTTGGCCAAGGTGCTAAACGACGCTCCTCTATCCTGCCTTGTCTTAGTATTTTCGTTTCTGCGGTTTTGGGCTGGTGAAATGCGTTGATGATTGACATCTTGTGCAGCATTGAACAATGAAGAGATTGAGCTAGGTGAATGAGGTATAACGACGAAACTGATGAGAATTTCAAAAAATCGCGCTCTCTTAACCCTTTTGTAGCGAATCCGGTTGTCTGGGAATTAACAATGATTCCTCGATCAGTGGAGTGTTTTAGAAGTTCATAGCTATGTTGTTTTGCAGAAGAGACTTTGCTTTTTTGTGTTTATTACATGTATAGCTTTTGTTTAGCTTTCTTTTACTTTTAAAAATATTGAGAATGAAAACTTTCAAAGAATTGCTGAAGAAATTTAAGTTTTTGACGTTTCTAACCGAAAAACAGCAGCTGAAAATTTAAAGGATAGAAGGATCAACAACGCCTTTCCATATTGGGTGAAATCACTATTGTTTGTTTGCATTCATTTTCGAATGTGAGCTTTGAAGCAATAACGCAGAGGAAGTAGATGTCATGACCTGCAGAAAATGAGAATTTTATTGTGGTATTACGAGAGCATTTTCATCTGTAAACAAGGATTTGCAGCTTGCGTTACTTCATATTGCAACCAATAAAATCCACTATGAACTGAGATGTGATGACTCAAAGCTAAACCTAGGACTTCTTTCTTCTCGTGCTGTCACTCCGGGTTTTACGTAGTGGGTTAACGGTGAATTTATACGTACAAAGAATTACGACTGAGTCGTTTAACACAGTCGTGACGAATCTGGTTTTTTGACAACACACGACAATTTCTTCGTTAATAGACTAATAAAGAAGAGTTGAGAACTCTGCAGACCTATAGAAGAATCTTCTATCTATCTATTTAAGAGCAACTGTGATTCTTAGAACTGGTATCGTTTCTTCTTCAGAACTGTTTAGAGCTAAAATTTGTGGAAAAGTTAGAAACAAAATTAAAACAGAAGAATGGAAACGCTCAGATGCTTAATACTCCTTGTGTAAGTACACGGGGCACGCCTTGCCATTGTCGCATACCAATGTAGGAAATCCAACTGCTTTTGTGCTCGAATTACAATTCTCGACAGGGATAAACAACAAAAATACAGGGTATAGGCTCCATAAAGTAGGAAATCCTTCTTTATAAAGTAAAAAAATTTGTATTTTGTAAGCGAAGATCGGTGCATTCCGACGGTTTTCATTCTAGCCAGTGGAGTTCAATGTGAGCTGAGCTTAGACAAGTTGGTTTACGGTTAAAAATGGCCATCATTTTTCACAGTATGTCTCCATATGAGGTCACATTGTCACAAATGTCTACAAATTCGAGACAGTGCGCGCCCAGGATCTACTTTTTGTTAACCTCGGCATTGGATTGTAAATGTGCAATTTTCTTTCTTAGCAATAGCGAGGCTGTCATACAGCATATGTTTACTTCCGTACAAGGACACATACAATACAACAGTAGCTGACGTTTCGGCTGTATCGCCTTCTTCGGAGCCTAGAAGGGTTCACTGATATGCAATTTACTACGGCAAGCTCTTCAATAACACATTCAGAAAGACGAAAATCTATACGGCAGTCACATGATCAACAGCTCGAAGGAAAGTGTGCTGTCATTTAAATACGTGTTTGGCCTTTCGAAAATATCTTTCGCTTTCAGCATAAAACAGACATTTCAGCTCATAGTGACCTTTAATGAATGAGTTAAATGTGATCGGAATGTAGAGGTCTTTACTACAAGGTTCAACTTATCCTATGTGATCACAATAAAATTCTGATTTCCTGCTGGACTCTGTAGAGCTTTTCTGCCGCTGTTTTCGTCTTTGTTCGTATTTCCGACTGGGAATCGATTGAACAAATGAGATTTCGTTCAGTTACAATGTCATGACGTACGTTCCCGACTACATCGTCGGCGTTTGCGGCTGTAGCGATTGCATCCACAGTTTTAGCATTTAAACAAAAAAGAACGAGTTTTTCGGAATAGGGTGGAGAAGTTGTGTATTAAACAACTTTGAGGTTTAGACACTAGTTTAGAAAAGCTGCGTATTCGTCTAGAAGGACACGGGAACGTTTCTCTTAAGACTTTTTCAAGTTCTTAGTACCTCGAATTATCGACAAATTGTCGGCGACTGCCGAAATACTCGTTTCGTTGCGAATCCGTTAATGTGATTTCAGTTCTCTTCGAAATCGTCGATTCGAATGTCTTTCTGTATGGTTGTATTCTTCCAAATCGTCGCAGTTACTGGTCGAATATTACCTATCACTTTTATAATATTTAAATAAAGTAAAAGTAGTAGGCTGGATTGGTTTTTCCTGATGGAATACCGATTCTCCTCTCATTTTGAACAGCTGAATGAGTGATTCACGTTTGAAACTTTTTTATTTATTGGCAACAGAGCTATAAGAATCTAGGACTAGTCTCCCTGAAGAAAGTCAGCAATTGTTCCCTTATGTATGTCCGTAAAAAGCAGCATCCTTAGTTCTGGTAGAGTTATTCCTTCCTTTCATTCTTCTTTTTGTTTCCTTCTTCTTCTTTCCTTCTCAATCTTTTCAAATACTGCGAAAAATTCTATCATGCGCTTTTGAAACCAACGTGGTTATTTCAGTGAGAGAAAAGTTTTCGTACCAGTTATCATCGTTCAAATTTGAATTTCCATTGTCTGTTTTTTTCAAGATATCATCTATCAGGCTATTTTTGTTGACTTCTGAGCCCAGCGTGTTTGTTTTATTTATTCGAATGCTCGGTTAGTGGTGGGGTCCTACGAGTCAACAACGCTGAAGCACTCGAGAAATACAAACCCCTCTCTCTCCCTCAGAATCGCGTTTCCACATCAATTCGTCAAAATTGTTTACCGTTGGACAGTTCATGAAAACTTCACCTTTATTTAACCGTTACTTAACCTTCTTTACGATAGAATACAATAAATATTTGGAAACAAAAGCAGCATCCAATATTTCATTGTTTGTATTTGTGTCACAAAACGTTAGCATTTGGTGAGCTTCTTTTTCTATGCCTATTTTTTAAATTGTAACCTTTGATCGAGCACCTCAATTGTTTAGATTAAAATGTTGTGCCTGACCGATCGATTAATCGATCAGTCGGCCAATCGATTATTGTTCTAATAGAGATTGAGCGAAAAGAATGGTTAGGGTTATACAAATACAAAGAATCTCTGTCTATTTGTTGAAAATATCGTATTATTCGGAGAAATCTACCTGTATTTAGTTTTTCTTTCACATGTTAAAGCACAGTATATTCATCAATTTGTTAATTCTCAATTTTCAAATTCCGGACTTTTTCCACCTTTTAGCAGTTACAGTTGTTCTGTTGGAAATTTACATCCGCTGAATGAGGAGAGAATATGCCTAGTTAATAAGAATTTTTCAAGGCTTATACTGGGTCAGACGCGTGTGGCGTAGTGGCTGGAGGCACCACTGCGACACGTGGAGTCGATCCCTGCGCCTATGGCCCACCAAGCCTTCCATCCCTCCGGGGTCGGCAATTTGGTACCAGACTGGTATGGGAGGATAGCAGCACCGATTCGATACATCGGTAGGTCACCGCGAGTCATTGCAGAAGCCAGACATGCATTCAATCACCTCCAACGATACTTAATGAAGTCGAATGCATGGCGCATCCCTCAGGAATTGATCAACGCCGAGAGCTTTATCCTTTTATACTTTCTGGATGTCTTCTTTCTTTCTTTATTTGTGATAACTTGAAGATCTGCAGAGCGCAAGCAGTCGTCGTCTTCACCATATCGTTTATTTTTTATCTGTCGACCATAAAACAGCGAATAATGACCAGTTAACCTCAAAAAGCGCAGGAGATAAAAATAACCCAGATGTACTACTTTTTCTCAGAAACGACGCATGGTCCTATTTCATAAAGCGTTATTTTTTCTGCTGTTGTTTTTATGTCTGTCCGTAATTTGTTTAACTTCTTCTTCTTCTCATCTTCTCTATTACAATATTACTTACTTACTTGATACTTGAATGGCCCGTCCTCATTGGTTGCGCGGGAGGTATTACAATATTGATAGTTGTTTCAACTCTTTCAATTCTCAACAGTATTTTCAAAACTGTCAACTACATGAATTCCAATGAGTTTCTAAAAATAGTCAAACTCAAGGATAAGTTTAAATGTTTCACTCCGTTTGAAAAAAGTAGAAGACACGTTAGTTGGGCGCTTGACCTGTTCGTACGACCTGACCACCGTTGCTCTTCTCTTCTTTAAAATTGCCTTTAAAAAACAAATTATAACCATTCGGTGTGTTGATATGCAAAACCCTAGCACTTCGTTCACACACACACACACACACACACACACACACACACACACACACACACACACACACTATGTATATATATTGTATACATGCATATATATATTCAGGAATATGTCTAACGCAACCTTTTCAGGACCGACGCCACTCACCACGTCGAGGCTCAATTTCATCTGATGGTATGGTTAAATTTGTGACATTTTTAGTTTATTTTTTACATCACATTAAGTCATTACCCATTTATTCATTAGTTACCAGTTATAATCTTAGTAGAGGTTCCACATTGCCAAAAAATTTTCTAAGATTTATTTTCTTCACTAAGTGGAGGCTTAATGGGTCGGAGTCAGTTTCGTGTACTGCATTGTTTAGAAATTTATCCCCAATCTCTTTGTTTTTTCGTGTGATGCCCTTCGTTTAAAGACCACCAAAATTCTTTGTCTGTCAAAGCGTAATAAGAACCGAGTAGGAAAAATTTCACAGCGAAATAAATGTTAAGATGCTTTTCTGAGGAATTTGAACTATCTCGGTTAGATCATATCGTCGTGTACTAAGTAATTTATTTTGACAAACATACTTTTAGACTAGGTTTTTTGACATTTATTGTCTAGGAATGACGGCGTTGTCAACGTCATTTACTGCCGCGATTGCGGCTAATGCAAATCATGGACGGCACGAGCGCTACGCGGCTCATATTCCAGTAAATAGAGGAGATAACAGCGGGCAACAGAACGTCGTTACTCAGGATAACCAACAGAGGTTAGTTTCCATACTTTCTTACAACTTTAATTATAAAGACGTATTTTTCACTGGTAAGCTAAAACCAGGTGAAAGAATCTTTTACATGCAACTTTCAAACTTCTTCGAAATAAACTAAAAAACTTTTTGAAATATTTTCTTATGAAGTAGGGCTGTGTGTATGTTTGTTTACTTTTGAGACACATAGAAAAAGGTCATAATTTTTGCTGAATTATGTTTTCCTCCAAACGATGACAGGTGAGGACCATCTTTCTACCAAAGGCTTCATTTTCCATGCCATAACATGCTATATAGTCAGCTCTTGAAGCTCATAATTGCTTATGGCTTGCAACTTAGTGGCCATGTGGTGGTAATTTTCATCTCCCAGTGCATGACATTTTTGTGTATATTTTTAGGCTCACACCCTCTCAAACCGAGATTTTTTCCTTAGCTTTCTTCCCCTTTCAATTTTTTTGTTGACTTTCCCATACCCTGTCAGATCTTTAAACCACGACACTTTTTCTGTTGAAAGCATTGGCTTTATTAGACTGTTGTCCATACCTACATCATATCATTCCTTCCGGCGTTGAACGTTGAGCGACTCGAGCAGGTGCTGGTCAGACCTTTATTCATCTTCATCCCTGTTACGAGTTAAGAATTCCCTAGTCTGTTTTGTTTTCCCGAAGACAGTAAGTGTCTTATCTTTATGTATTCTTTCTTTATAAGCTTGCACGAGCTTGATAAATACATTTATTTTCGGCTAACGTTTCGACGTCTTCGTCTTCCTCAGAGCCGATGGTCCGAGTCGATGGTCCGTGATTGTTGTTCGTGTCGACGTTGCAGCTTCGTCTTCGTGTCGAGCCAGGTCTTCCTCAGTGAGCCATCTTCTCGAATCAAAAAAAAATGTCTTCTCTTCGTTCATGGTAATCATGAGGAATTCTGACCGTCAGGTCAGTGTTCTTCTTGTTATGCACATGTTCTTCCGCGGAACTAGGTCGTTGGTAGCTCCATCCCGTGTTGTTAAAACGCACCATATGTTCATCCTGTGCTATTATTAACACCTTTTCACCTCCGGCATTGTTCCGGGTCTTTGATTGTCAATTTAGGATTCGACAGTAACTGTCAATTATGTGACGGAAGGTATTCATCCTTAGCATTAAACTACAGATAGCGCACATGATTACACCAGTCGTTCGTTTTTAACATGCTTACGTAACATTCGGATGTTTGAGGTGTACAATGAAGCATGATCGATTCATCTAGCACAGTGCATGAAGGTGTTCTTGAACCTACGCGTGGTCGACGCGGCGTCCCAGGCTCACCAGGCTCTTTATCTCTCAGCGGTCGTCAAACTGATACCAGACTTCTCTGGGAGGATAGCCGCACTAAGCTGGTAAATCGATAGGCCACCGTAATTCACTGTATAGGCCAGATATGCATTCAGTCACCTCTAATAATGCTTGATGAAGTCGAATGCATGGCATATTCCTCAGGGATTGATCAATATCGAGAAGTTTATCCTTTTTATACCGTATCGTTACGTTCGTGGTCATCGTGTAACAAGAATCATGGGTATGATTTTCACGTCAGTCAGTCCGCCCACAAGCACCGCTGACAGCTTTGCCCAACGCTCTGCATGCTATACACACACCACGTATATGCACCTTGCTGATCGGTAACAATTGCTTGAAAACTATCATCATGATCTTACTGTTAGTTAGGTACCCACCAAAATCGTTTGTTGTTTTTCGATTCTCCAGTGGAAGTGGAACAGAGTCGTCATTCGTTCATCAGATATTACCTGTTCATCTACGAATCTCTTCATGGGTTGATCGTTTAAAGAACTTCGCTTATTGTGGATTTCTACCACTCTTCTATCAATGATTCACTGTTTTCTTCATAAGCAAACAAGAGTTTGTTGTTACATAATCTATTCACTGACAATAGCTGACGTTTCTGCGGTTTCGCATTCTTCAGAGCTTGGAAAGTGACTCGCATTGTGCTCAGTCAAATGCTTGTATAACATCAGCAGATAAAACTCAGTGCAAAATCTTCATCGCGTAAGTTTGCAAAAATGTAGTCACAACCTCAAGTCTGCTCATCAAGAAAGCTGTGATCAGTGGCAATGTTAACAGAAAATCCGTCGTGGGGATTCACTGTTAGATCCTACATTATTATGCAATATTTGCTCTTTTATCGATCGTATGGTTCTGTGGTAGTTTAAATCTACAAATGATTTTTTCCGAGCTTCGTAATATAACATTACGTTGTGACAGTTGTGCACCTTCTGTTTTTCTACAATCTTTTGCATTCGTGATCATTGCTTTAATCCGTTTTTTCTCAAGCGTCAGAACTTTCACTGATTCTCTCTTTCTGGCAGCATTTGGCCAACTAGTGCATATTTCATTCGTTGAAAAGAGCTCTCATATTAGAGCTTCTATACTCTTAAGGAGCTTTTGGTGATCGATTGAATCTGTTCCACGCGGCGTGCTAGTTCGTGGTAGTTGGCAAGGTGGATGTCAAATTCTCTATAACTTCTCTTTATTGGTGTATAATGGCTCAAATTCACCTATACGAAAGGGTTGCTTGCTAATTCACCAATACAGATAATCAAATGGGTTATCATCATTTCTCATCAGTATTACCTTCCAATTTTGTAGGCATAATGTTAAGGAGAAGAGGAAGACGTTGAGAATTAGCAGCTGATTTCAGATCCGAACTTGTGGAAAACTGAGGTGTGTGAAAGTTGGTTGATTTGCCCATAACACTCCTTGGAATACTCATTGTGCTGTTGTCGACGTCAAATTTTGATGTGACATAATTCTTTTACAACTTACCTCGGCGCTAAAGCATAGGTTTAAAACTGCACAAAGTTATCCTTAAAAATTGACGAAGATTTCAGCTTGGCATTTGTGCATCAAAGAGGTGCTATTTATTTGTTGGCGTTCTTGATTTTTCTTCCCAACACTTAGGTGTTCCAAAACTGACAGAATCCAAGAAATTTTCGGTAACTAATTTACATGTACCTAAATAGAAATTTACCTGTACTGTCTACAGCAGTTTGTCAAGGATCGTATCTGAGGCTTTGCTGTTACTTTCCGGATTATGTTCTTTTGAAAATTGAAAGACATAAGAAATCGTTTCAAAGAAGCTATGGAAAAGTTATACTATCGAGATGTTGCATTATCTCTGTTTTGCTGTAGTCGAAATCTCGATTTTCAAATTCACGCTCGTAAACCTCCTATCAACCACAAGCTGGGTCGGTGATCACTTTAGCCCATGGTACAGTGCTAGTAACGCTTATCTACTGTGCAAATGAGATGCTGTTAACGAGCTGTTTCTCCTTAATACTGCGACCGTATTTATGTTCGTTTCAGTGCATTCTAACGCATCTAATTGGAAAAATGAAATGCATAGATGACTAGTCTTCACATATCGTGCAGCTTTCAGCGCTTCGACCATTTGTGTCGCGATTATGTAACGGTTTACACGGAAACAGTCAAGTAAATAGTACATGGCCTCGGCTGGAAGATGAGGTTCCGTTATCTCCTCTCACTATTACTTTGACTGCTGGTTGAGTGTTGCTTTCTGGAAATTCGATACAGCTCTGCTAAGGTGTTCTCAGGCCTTCACGACAAAGAGTTGGCGGTTTTTGTGGGTTTGAAGAAGATTTTCTGCCTTTCGGTTCCGATTATTCCAGGACGACAACGATTCGATTAGCCGACCGGCTACTCGAGAACGATGTAACAAGCCGAATCCCTTCAGTGGGACCATCAGCCTACAAACCAGAAATATAATTTGAAAACAACTGTTTGTTCTAGAGTTGAGCTTTCGTACTCGTTCCGTTTTTAGATTTGTTCTTTATTCGTCTACGATCTGCCGTTTAACACCAAGTGTTAAACAGACCTTATATGATCATGAGGAATGGTGTTTACAAACATCCTGTTCACTGGATAGTTAAACATTAGGTTCATCTTTAGCACTAAACGAAGCAGCATTTCCATAGATGTTCTATGCCATAAGACAAGATGTTACCTCGTCCGGCAATTTCATTCGACAATCGAGTTTCTGATAGAAACGTGAAATTTTTGTTCTTCGTCGTCGGTTTTCGTCTGACAAAGTTTTTCAGGCAGTTTTTTCATGCTTGTTATCGACACGATTTGCTTACCGCTAGCACTACTGTATTTAATTTATTCATTTTATATCTATTACACAACGCGAATGAGTCAACCGCTATCAAGCACCCAAACCTCAAGGTTTGCATTGATCCTTATGTGATTCAACTCCAAGTTTCTTGTAGCTACTGGATTCATAGAGTTGACCATTATTGATTTAAAAATTTTACTTTTTTCAATTCTTTATTCATTGTTGTCAGCCGTCTGTTTTCTCACCAACGAACCTCTCATTCTACTATTCTGTTTGCGTAGACTGCACTTTGAAAAATGCTAAGCACTGCGGTGAGCCCAAATTTTGTCTACCTATCCAAAAATCTAGGCCACCATCTCTTCTAGGTGAATGTAGGTGCATCTCGTGAATTTTATCATATTATCGCTGTTTGAGTTGTTAGGTCCTTCGAAGTTCATATATGAGCTGAAACGTTTTCAGAAGTTTGTAATCGACTGTCGGTCCTACCTTCCCGGAAAAATATATATCGGCAGACTCTGAACGAAAGATATTTAACAGTAATCCGATGGATCCGATGGACGTAGTTCACAAAAGTTTCACAACAAACACAAACAAATTACTACCAAATATACTATCTGTTACTTATACGCTCTTCCAAGACCTTATAAGCCTCAAACAGCAAACAATGATGTTCGCTAATGTTTTTGTGAAGTCCTACAATCTTCTAGTAGAAGTAGCATTAAAATTTTTTCCTATTATACTCTTATAACACGATCCATGCAATGCGTATTTTCTTCGTTTGATTTTATCCATTTTTCCCTTTGTTTTATTCCTACTGTATTTATTTTATGTATCAAATTTCCACATAAGGCAAACCACACGATTGAACAGAGCCCGATATGCACCTAGTGATTGGAAAATGTGTTCAGATAGCTTTGCTATAGGCATTGTTCCATCTCGAGTTAGAGTAGCATTGGCGTTTCGCAAAACTATCTTGAACACTTGAAAATTGTGAAGTCTTTACTGGTTGAACAACCTATCGCTCGTCTGCAGCAATCTATTCGAAGTATCCCATTTTTACACTGTAAAGAAAAGTAGATACACCGAAACCAGATGTGGGAAACACGAACGCTAGGGATTTTCAACATAATGCGGTGTCTTTGATTGCCTATGAGTTCATATGGGTTCCATCAGCTAATTGTTAGTGAGCTATAGTTAAAACAGATTTTATTGTTATGCGATAATACTCACAATCACTTCTTAAATGGACATAAACGAACATTAGAACCAGTCACGTAGAATCCTCACTTTTCGGAACAAGAATGGCAATCCTTCTGTTCGAAGCGTTTCTGCAAAATATGTGTTAATTATGTCAACTGATTATAACGGAATGGGGCTCTGCCGCATTTCCCTATGGAGAGCACCTGTATCACCCGTAGTCCCGTTGATCGTCGAGTGACTCGACTGGGCGTCGGTAAATCTTTCATTTTTCTCTATCGCGTGCAAGAGTAGCCCTGTGGGTTCTGCTCGCTTTAGAGACTCGTTGAGCATCATATCTTCTTCTAGACTTTTTGTGAAGAACGCTGACCATCGAGTAGGTAGTTTTCCTGCAGTGCGTTTAAAATCCCGAGGAATCCAGTCAGTAATGGCTCCTGTCCATCGGCTGTCATTCATAAGAATTACGTGTCTGGCCCACCTTATCTTCGACTGCTTGGTGTACAGAATGGCATCTTTGATGTTTGATCGTTGACGCAGGTCGAGGCTTCAGATCCCTTCCATTACTTGTGTGATGCGGGGTACTCCTACCATCGACCTTTCGATGCGCGTTGAACAACGATGTGATCTTTCAATAACTCGAAAGATCGACTTTCTATGAACCTCGGCATAGATAGTTTATATATTTATTTATGTGATCTTATAAACTGATCTTCTTAAGCTGACGCGAGGTTGGTACAGATCTTCGTTGTCGTTGTCGTTGTCGTTGTTTTTGATGTTATTGATCGATGGTTGACGTTTCGGCGACTTCGCCTTCCTCAGAGCCTGGACGTACTTTATGTTAGAATACTTTTTATTATTCGGTGGAAAAGAAGGTTAAAGTATTAATGAAGATCAAACTTTCAAATAGACGCCATATTGAACAGAAAGGCCACTCACCGTGATGTTACGTGCGGGACTGGCCCACACGTAGTTCACGCGAGCAAGACACGCCCCGGGGTCAAAATATCATTTTGAAATAGGGCGCCAGGTCACGCGTGATAGTGAGGCATTCGTCCTTCAGGTTCATCTTTGGATTTTTGAAATTTATCCAAAACGCCTCAAGAGTTTTGCGCGTTGATGTTTTTGATTCCTGCGCTAGGATCCGCACATTCACTTCAAAATCATCGCCGTTATGCATTTGTGCCCTATGCGTACCTAGAGGGGTGTTTAAACGGATTTTAGCTTTCCCATCTAGATGTTCTTTTATGCGGACACAAAGTGGTCTACCCGTTTCCCCGATATATTCCTCGCCGCATGCATTACATGAGATCAAGTATATTATACCTAAACTCATGCAATCCCCGTCTCTCCCGTTNGTTCTTTTATGCGGACACAAAGTGGTCTACCCGTTTCCCCGATATATTCCTCGCCGCATGCATTACATGAGATCAAGTATATTATACCTAAACTCATGCAAACCCCGTCTCTCCCGTTGGGACAGATCATACAGTTTTCTGAGCTGCACAAACGATCATAGAGACGGTTTCGAACTAACTGGCGGCGTAGGGTATTGGGTGGGATGTCAACAATCATTACACAATTTTCAAGACCACTTTTTCTTAAGCACTTTTTAATGGCGTGACTTACTTCATTTGATATGAAGGACAGCTTAAAGGGGATTCTAGTTTCGTTTGAAATATTATTTTGGGAAACTACCCATCGTTCTCCTCTAACCCGAGTAGTTTCTACTTCGTAGCCATTGGAAATGGCAATTTTTCGTGCCAGGCTTCGCGATTCCTTCCTTTCCTCTTCTCCTGTACACACATTTTTAGCCGTACGATACATATTTTTGGTAAGTGCTTTTTTATGTGTGAAGGATGAGAGGAGAGGCAGTGGACTAGAATTTTGTTACCACTTGGCTTGCGATACCATTTCGTTACATAGCCACTTACTGAGAGCTTTATTTGGACGTTTAAGAATGGAAGCCAGTTCTCGGTAGGTTTTTCTCGTGTAAATTTTATATACTCTGACTGTCGGTTTAATAATTCAAAGCACTCATCCATCTGTTCTTGTGTAGAACAGACGATGAAGCAGTCGTCTATGTATCGACAGTAGAGTAAGGGTCGGTGGTCGAGAACTGGAGCTTCCACCTTAGACATGAAAGCGATGGCAAGGCTTGGTGCTAAACGCTGCCCCATCGCCAACCCTCTAATTTGTGCAAAATATTTTCCATACCACCTAAAGATTGAACAACTAAGACACTGTTTAAGAGGGTCATTAGTTGCGCAATCGACAAGCCGTGCATTTTTATTTTCTTTTCATGCTCTACGAGCAACTCGAGAATGGTTTGCATTGCGGAGTCATTCGACACGTTGGTATAAAGTGAACTAACATCGAATGACTCCATTATATGCGTGCTGTTTGGTTGCGCGCGCCTTAGGTAGTCTAGAAATATTTTGGTGTTAGGTAGATGGGTTGGAATGAATTTTAGCAGCTGGGTTAGGATAAGGTTTAGGAACCACTTTATTCTATCCGTTGGCCCGCCTATACAACTGATGATAGGTCTAACTTTATATGATGATGGGTTCGTTGATGTAATATCATCAGTTGAAGTAAGACAACGAAGATCTGTACCAACCTCGCGTCAGCTTAAGAAGATCAGTCTATAAGATGTGATCTTTCATTCTGCTTACACAGCGGCCAAATTTCTAACGCATTCGTTAAGACACGAAGTACTGTTGAGTCGAAAAAATGGGCACGAGCTCGGGTGTTTTTTGTTTCCTTCTCTACATCTTCGATACTCTTGAAAACTCCCAAAGCCGCTCATTTCCTTCTGCTGAGCTCTGGAGCTAAGTCGTTCATCATGTTGATTTCCCGACCTCTATAGACGTAACTGGACCATTCGAAGGTATTCGTTCAGTTGAGCGTGAATGGGACATTCGAAACCAATCCGTTTTCCATGAGCATCGTTTTTGTGAGGTTTAGTCGAAGATCAATCTTTCCACAGCCTTTATCGAAGTCAGGCATACGTTCCGCTTGGCTAATGTTTCCTGTTATAAGGACGATATCATCAGCAAAGCCAAGATCGTGTAATTGCCGACCATCGACTTTCAATCCCATGTTATCCCATTCCAATGTTCGCATAACGTTCTCGAGAGTGGCAGTAAATAATTTTGGTGAGATGGTATCGTCCTGCCTAACCCCTCTTTTGACGTCGATGTTAATATCGTTGTAAAATGGTGATATATTGGTTGTGAAATTTCTATACAGCTCACGAAGAATTTTTATATACTGAGAAAGGACCCACTGAAATCACTCATTCAGGGATTCCATGACTGCTTCTATCTCAGTTGGGTCAAAGGCCTTCTTTAAATCGATGAAAGTGAGGCAGAACGGTCTTCTGTACTCCCGCGATACCTCAACGAGTCTTGTTATCGTGTGGTTGTGGTCCATTTTACTGAATCCTTTTTTAAACCCTACTTGTTCACATGGGTGTCCTTCGTCCAGTGTTCTGTCAATTCTGTTTAGGATGACTCGAGTGAAAAGTTTGTAGACGACAGACAGTAAGCAGATTGGGCGGTAGTTGCCGATATCGTGCAGGTCACCCTTCTTTGACAATAACACGGTCTTGTTGGTATTCCACCAAGTAGAGGCCTTGCATTCAGACAGGTAACGTGTGAAGAGCCGAGCCAGTGTGTTTATGAAGACTGGCGGAAGGCTCTTCGGGTGTTCAGATCTTGTCCTGTACGGACCTGGTGCTGTTCGATTTTTCGCCGATGAAATGGCATGTCGGATTTCGGAAGGGAGAAGCGGTGGTACAGCATATCCATCATCCTTTATTTCGTAGAACGGAAGAATTATGTGGCTATTGAAGAGAACTGAGTAGTCTTCGGGAACGATTTTCTTCATTGCCTTTCTGGAAGCTGTAACTGTTCCGTCTGGGTGTCGGAGTCCAATCATTTTGGTTTTGTTCAAATTTTGTAATCGGCGAAGCTTTGGTGGGCTTTGCGAATGCTTTTCCCAGCCTCTGCAGCTCCGACCATTACCGCTGCTCTTCTCTCTTTAAGATCTTCTTTTATCGTCTGTCTGCATTGTTTTGCAAGTTCGGACATTTCGTGGCTACCTGCGGCTCATGCGATTCCACGCTAGCGTATGAGCTCGAGTGTTTCTGGAGGCAAACGTCTCTTGGTGAATTTCAAACTCTCAGATTTCATTGCGCCATGGAGAACGAGGTTATGTGATCGCACATTTACGCATTTGCGAGCTCGCGAACATATGTTTGCCAGTCGCTGGTTTTATTTTTTTTAAACGATTTGCTTACTGACAGATTTATCTATAATAGTGTGGTCTACTTGGTTTTAAACAATGAACGAAGGCATAGATTGAAAAGTCATAGGTTCGACGTTAACCGAATATTCATTGTAAAATGATTCTAATAAAGTTTAAACGATAACCATAGGTAATGTTTCAGTGACGCACTGGATAACGCGACGAAACAACTCGATCATGTCATCGATCAGGCGCGACATAAACACAGCCAACATCGTAGCAAATTCAAGGAAGCTATCGACTACCTCGATCAGATCTTTGAGGATCTCAAGAAAGAGTGTGATCCGGTTAGCATTGTTATTCTTATTTTTGTATGGTTTACAAAACATTATTATTGAAAAATGTACCATAAACCTGTGACGTTCATCGCTGAACTAACCGTAATCTTCTCAAATTAATGGTCTCTAGGACAGGTTCACTTCGTGCAGAGGATGCAGCCAGCTGATGTAAGCCGAGGAACACGTCTGCCCATTATCTCTGTTTTTTTCTAGAGAACGATTTTATCCTTTGCTTTTCACTCTATGCACTAGCCCGAATCTCTTCTATGAGGTGTTTTTCGAAGCTTTGAACTAGACTTTTATTTTTATTATTTATTTTTATTTTAGACTTTTATTTTAGAACACGTGCATTCGCTGTGTACTTGAAGTACAAAGTCCTTCATGTAGTTTTACCAATCCACGTTTCAAAAGTAGAGCAGAAGTGGAAATGTTGCATCGAAATGAAGAATGCGGAGTTTCATATGTCTAAGCTGTCTTTCGCTTCTGTAAGAAGTCTAACATCTGCGCCTTCATCTCTTTCGAATCGTGTGGTCTCTCAAACCATACAACCATCCATTTCAATTGGTTTTCAATCACACCACGGGTTTTTCGTCGAACAGTTTTTTTTTCGATTTATTATTGAGGTCTATCCTTTTACCTACTTGGGCTTTTAATCGTTTTTTGTTCTCTATCATATTTTTTGACTATTTCGTCGGCAAAATGAAACTTAGGAAGGTGAATTCCATCAGTGCGTAACCGTTTCCGTTAAGATCCAACGACGCCATTATCAGATACGGCGGTGAATAACTTTGCCCAAATGGTGTCACGCTTTCTTTCTCTTTATTTTTGGTGATAATAAGAGCTGTACTTTTCTGGCTTAGTCGGATATAGATTTTTCCATGTACGACTGAGCCCCTTTGTTTTGGTCAAAGAACGCTGATGGATTACCATTTGTTGCAACGCTGTCGAACACGAAAACAGCAGGTGATGCAAGGGATCCTCTACAGGCTCGTTAAGTGTTCCTACACTCGTGATGAATGTTTCATTTTGAAGCGCTCGTTTTTAACTCGAAGGAAGTAAGTTACGGTATTTCCTATGGCTGTGCAATCCTAATGTTCTTAGTCCTATTTGGAATTTAAAGAGAACCCAAAATGGTGGGATTTTTGGGCTGAGAAAAGGCCAACGGTTGTAAGATTGTAGTGACACTTACTTTTCATTTTCCATTTTAAATCATGGCGGGAACCGATTTAAGCATTTTTTCTTTTAACAAATTTAGTAACACATAGCACACTAGTAATGATGCCGGTCGTCACGAGCATGGTTCTGGTCCTATCCCGCTCCAGGCCCACCAAGCTTGTCATCCCTTCGTGGTTGGAAAATTGCTACTGGACTTATCCGCGAAAAATCATTGTCTGAGTTCAGTTGGGGACGATCCAGCACGGCTATCTCAGGACTCCAGGGAGAATCGCTTGACCAGCATTCTACGACATTCAAGTTGAAGCGAAAATTCTCAAACAGCAGTCGAAGACACGCATAAAAGTTGGAAGACGTGGATGATGAGTGCAACGAATCGAATGTGAGGAGTGCTGATCAGCACCATAGATGTGCAGACGGTCTTATAGAGAAAAATTCTTAAAAAAGAACCGGATAATACACGTTTCGCTGTTATTTCTTCAAACTGTCTTTTTCCGACCTGCCTGTAGCAGTTTCATTTTTGTCGGGGCCGTTTTTAGTGCTCCTTTAAGATCTTTTGCTGCTAGCATTTTCGACAGCCGTACTAAATGCGTTGCAGTTCAGTTCTAATTTGCTATTGTTCTTGAACGATTCTTTGATTATGATGGGATGAGGTCGGAGCTTCTTGATTTAAGAACTGAAATGTTCTTAACACAATTATAGAGTCCACTCGTCAGTATTTATCTGAAAATTTTCGTGTCATACAGGACTTGTCATTTTCCTTTCTGTGGAATGACAGGAGTCCACTGCAAAAAAGTGATGCCGCCGGTGGTTCTAGCAAGGACTTCTGTCCAGTTTCTAGCTACATCCGCATAAGTGGTTTTGTTTGGTGAATCCCACGCTGATGATTTTCCTTCTCCCGACAGAAAACCTCCCACGAAACAAACGGGCCGAGGGGAATAATCGAGTTAGGCTATTCCCATCCTTCTTTCTTTCCTCTGCTACAAATTTTTCTTGCTGTATTTGATATTATTTGCCTTTGAAATCCCTAACAGAAAGAGATTTTAAAGTAGGATTTTTTGCTATTAAATACTTTCTCGAACTATTTGTAAAGCGCATCTAATTTGACTTCATCGGTTGCAAAAGTGGGTGAGTAGAAGTTAACAATGTTGATCTGGTTTTAGCGAAAATAGGAAAATAATGGATACGCAAGGTGGTAATTTCTTGTATGGGGTGGGGGTCACCGTTAGGTTACAGATTGATGTGCGAAAATGTGCACAACATGCGTATTTCCTCACGCGTTCTTCCTTTTACAGATAATAAGGGTTCAGTTGGCTTATGTCCGACACCATAGACGGAAGCGCACAGTATCTGGAAACAGAAGCTGCTTTATTGCAGATTATTGAGGCATTCGTAGCCTTCCCTGTGGTTCCCAGGTCACCTTATTATGGAGCTTCCAGATCTTCATCAGGGGCAGTACCGGCTCATATGGGTCAGTGGAAACTCTGCCACTTTTGGCAGGGATTATTTGAGGATGACAGCGATTTTTGCGAGTTGATCGACGATTTGGGTGATAAGAGGAGAACAATTCGTATTGCTGTAGTTAGTTATTGGAGCAGCTAGATATTATTTCTGTAAAAACCTTTTGCCTGGATTTTACCATTCTTGTTGCTTTTAAAACAGAATATCTCTACTAACGGACCTTTAAATTCTTCCTAATTGTGCAATAAAGAAGTTTATTTTAATTTGAAACAAAGCAGTTGCAGTGTTTTTCACAGCTCTGCATTAGCACGCTGCATGGGAATTATTTATTTATTCGCTCGAAATGTACAACGGCTCGAACATCTCCTGTATTCTGCTTGGTTATTCGAGCTATGCTAGAATTCGAGTACTTGTTTGAGTTTACCAGCTTGTAGAGCAGTTGTTTTTGGCTGTTTTTAACTGCTCACTAAGATGATCTTGCAGGGTGATGACAAGGGCAACGCTAAAGAGCGCAATCAGCCTATTACGCAACCGCAGGCTGTATCGCAGGCGGACGTCATTCGGTAAGAAACATTCCGTTTTCCTTTCCACATCTAAGGTTTATGATCTGACATTTGGTTTTTCTTGAGCAGGTTATTCAAGCGAGGTCAGCTGTAATGTTTTGTACTTTTACTTCATCGGTTATATTAATGTTTAAAAGATAATGGATAGCTTATTAATGTTTACTATAAATACATAATGCAAAATTGAAACATCAAGTGGAGAAGAATTTGAGTGGTAGAAGATTCTGTAGTTATCCGAAATACCACTATTCAATCCTATCAAAAAAATTTCATTTCGGGGAAAGTGTATGGTGTTGGTTTTTTTCTTGTAACTTGCTCTCAGTCTTTCCTTCACAGACGCTTCCTTTTCTGCATTGTGAAGCTTGGAGAATTCTCTGGTGCTGTGCTAACGAAAAAATGGCCCGCCCATAATACCAGATTTGGTGATGTGCCGAGTTCGTCGGCGATAATATTTTGAGAAGTTTCCGAGCATTTCATGCCATTCATCATCCATTCATCTGTTGCATCTTCTTCGGTGATGAAGTGCCAGTGAATGTGACCTGGCAGCTTTTCGTCGCTAAGTTCAAACAATTGCTACGCTACGAATGAGATCCCGCTCGGATTTGTTGTGTATTGGTCAAGGCCGATTGCATAGTGTAATAATATGGATTGCATTTCGTGATGTCGTAAACTCTTCGCGTTCATTCGTGTTGCATATTATTTCCTTTAATAAGTATTTAACCACTACTAACTTGCTATAAATTTCCAGTTTGTCGGTTGTCTTTGAACATTCTCAAGTACTTTCTCCCCATTTCCCCAGCTTTCCTCATTCTAGAGTTATGAAAATTTGTCGTGTAGATTTTGCTTTCTGTGTGGTCAAATCATTGTCTACTCTTCTAGATTCTGTTAGTGTTATCGCAACAAAGCGGCATTGTTGGGTTTTTTAGGCCTTCTTGTTTTAACGTTTAGGAACCGACGTGAATTGATTTCCACTCATACGTTGTCAAGATAGTGGACCCTCTAAACTTTAGACCATCATTTTTGAGATCAAAGTCAACGGACTTCATTAGTTACAATAAAAAGTATTAAAGGACAAAGGATAGAGCTCTCAGCGCTGATCAATCCCTGAGGTATGCGCCATGCATTCGACTTCACTAAGCATCGATGGAGGTGATTGAATGCATATCTGGCCTTTACAGTAACTCTCAATGGCCTACCGATGTATCTAGCCAGTGCTTCTATTGGTACAAGACTTTTCTGGTACCAATTTGCCGATCCCAGAGGGTTGGAAGTGTTGCTGAGCCATTGGTGCGGGGATCGATCCCATATGTGTGTCGCAGGGCGCCTCCGACCGCTATGCCATATACGACTTTTTTATAAAATGTATTAGAATGTAAATTTTTTGCCCAGAGGATATAATGTCTTCTATCTTACCACAATGAAATTCCAATTTTTTTGGAATCTACCACACCTATTTTGTGCATTTTTTTTGTGGACGCTCTGTTTCGAATACCATAGTAATTGAACAAACACTGTTTCGTTCAATAGGACATCCATAATGTCCTTAAATGTGTTTTTTTTTTTGCTTTTTGCTGAAGAAGTTTCGTTTGGAATTTTAGGAATTCAAACGTCGTTCTCATTTTATCCGGAAATTTTAATTCTAAACAAGTTTGAAGGCCAAACAACAGCTTTAAAGAGCCTTACTAAGCTTTATCTAGTTGGGGCTAAGTCTATTCCATACGCCTTTTTTGACTTCCCAAGTATTCTGCTTATCGAAAAATTGTCAGCAGTTTTTGAAAAAAATAACTTTGGGCCCTAACGGTTAATGAGAATGTTTTTCTGACGACTTTCATCAGGTTCGTAATAGGCTTATATAGAGATTTCTGTTAACGAAGATCGTTATGTTAACGAAGTTCGGCGCTCGGTATCATCGTCTCATTTTAATGCTGCACCATTCGATTTCCTAGCATCCTTCAGTGAAGAGAAAAATCTGTTATTGATTATCGAAGTATAGAATTCGTTCGTGATACTTCGTATTACTGGTAATGCAAGCGTACTTCATGAGCGATGTCGAAGACAGGCGACATTTACATGGGCTGGAAAGGTAAGTGTAAATAGACGAAAAGTCCTATGGTAACACGATGACATAAACTATATTATGATATATTCGATAGGGCTCGTTGATTTGCCTATACATTTTCTGATATTCGGGATAGGGTGGTCTCCGTGTTGTTCATTGATTTGCCCACACAACTCCTCATATTCGTGCTGAGAAGGCTCGTGTTGTTTGTTGATCTGCCTATAAATTTCCTGTTATCCGTGATGAAGATGGTCTCGTGTTCACAGTCACGCGAGGTTGCCCTCCGCACGAGTCAACTAAGCAGTCAGCATCCATCTGGCGGTCATGGGATTTCAAGAGATATACCCAATATACGTAGTGATAGGTTTGAACGTAGTTTCCATCAATTTGCGCTCAAAATTCCTTTTTTCATGTTCAAAACATAACTGCCATCACATAGTATGTTGTACTACGTTCTGCATCATATAACAGAGGTATGAAAAAGAGGCGCAGTGGAAAGAATAAGGCCAAAAATGAGAACCGAATCAAAATGCACAACACCTACATCTGGACGGCTTGCCGATGTTTAACAGAGGTAATCGACGAGTTAGAGCACGTATGACTTAGGCAACGCCCTTGACTTCGTTACAATCAGCATTAATGGACTCCTCATCTGGGTGGCTTACGGTAAAATGAGGCCTCATTGGACGTACCACCTCACTTAGACTAGTCTGTTATCAGTTAACTCCTTTGCAAACTACTGCGAAGAACGTAGAAGTTATTTGGCTTGCGACTTCATAGTCTCCTACTCTTTTTGACACCATGAATATCGAGAGCAGAGCTTTTTAGGTGCACCAAAAGATTTATGAAATGTAGGGGCCAAAATATGACTGGTACTAGAGTTATTCTTTAGTGGAATAGTTCAGTGTTCATGTGAGATAACTAAAATGAGATATTTGCCTGCTTTTTGGCTAGTGTTTTCGTCACCACTCATTACTATTATGTTCTTTTTTCAGACGTCCTTCCATTATTCATCCCAGCAATACAAAAACGACAACAAATTCCTCTAACCGAATTACAAGACAGACGAAACAGGATCAGGTTAGTAGTTCTGTTGTGTAACAATGATATGGCATTTCAGTGTGAAATATCTGTGTTTGGAGGCATGTGGGTTTATGCCCTCCGCTTTTCACTTTCGGTACTGATTTACCCCTAACCGGGCTTCCGGATAAAAAATGTCGATCTGTTTTTCAGCTAGAGAGAATTTGCTGAAAGCAAACGTTAAATTTATATCGTTGTTAGACATCAAGTAATATCCCGGTCAGGAAACGGCGGACAACGTTTGGAGTTTCATTTGGACGAAAATCGACAGATTTTTTATGAACTAAGGAAAATAGTTTTCCTGAGTATAGTTCCCAAGATCGACTTTCTCTTAACCTCGGCATTGGAATATGAATGTGTCGTTTTCTTGTTCAGCAATCGCGAGGTTTTTAAACAAAACGGCAGTCGCCAACCACATGCGACTATAATCAGCTGTTCTAAACTTCCTCATTGGAAGTCACGAAAAAAGCGGCTCTGAAGAAGGCGATACTGCCGAAACGTCAGCTAGCGTTGTATTGTATTGTGTTTTTATGGAAGTAAATGTATGCTGTTTAAAAACCTCGCGATTGCTGAACAAGAAAACGACACTTTCCTGAGTATATTAGGGGTGAAAATGCGGCTTTATAGCCAATATTTATAGAATGACCTGACAGTGAATACAGTAACAGTCATTAACACACTCTCTTTCAGTTCGTTTCTGACAAGAAAAACCCTAGCCTTCCAAATCTAAACATACTCATTTCGATCTACTATAAACTCGAAAAACAAAACAAACGAAAGGTTTTGTTACTTCTCGACAAGGAGATGCTGTTGTCTCGTTTTCTGCTTTTGTCGAGGCTCTATTTGAAGCAGTGAAACTATTAAGAATCGAAATTTAGTCTAGGAGGAAGCGAGGATACTCCCGAATGCACAAGTGAAATTTGAGGTTGCCGGCGTTTCGTTAACTTTGTTAAAATTTCGAGTTTTCTTTAAATGCCATAGGAGTCTGTTATTGATTTTTCAAAGGGTTATGAGTTCCTGTTCCACATTTCTTTCCGATTCTTCCGGCATTCCATTCAAAAATCACAAATTCGTAATGCTAAGAGGAAAACATTCTTACGCTTCTGCTGAGCCGTCAGCCGACTGTCACCTGCTGCCAGACCATTCGTCCCCTCCCTCACCAGTTGCCTTCCGTTCTCCGTCAAGTGGTCAAAGAGCTCACGGCTATCCAACGCTATCGAAATTGCATTTGTCTTTTGCAGAGTGACTGCTGCAAATATGCTTCTATAATAAATATTCTATAAGTTAAGATAGTTTTTTTTGCAAAAACCTTTTATTTCTAACTAAACTTTGTTTAGCTCTTAGAACAAGTGCTTACAAGTCATGCGGTGTTTTGCTGAGCCGCCAGCTTGACATCAAACACAGACAGTTTAGTATAACAAACTATGTTAAAGCATTTCTTTGAAGTTCGCTTATTGTTAATTGCTACCTTATCTTTAGTGCTGTCTTAGACTATGATCGATTTTATCACCCGTGATCTCACTTGCTATTGAACGTCCTCACTGACCTTTGATCCACGGACACGAGGAGCATCATGCTTTTGATATAAGTTCAATTTCTTAATGACTTTGGCGAGAATTGAGCAAATGGCAGCTCATTGAATTCCCTCGTGGAGTACGTTAAGGGTTAACTAGGCTTTCACAAGGAAATGTGGAACTGCTCCCCATTCGATGACCCTCATAGTGTGTGAAACCACTTCTGTATGTTGCAGTTCTATATTAAAGAAGAAACTCTTTTCCCAACGATGCTGAAAACGTTTGTTGGACAATAAACGACAAAGAATAAAGCGTTCTGTGTTGATCAATATTTTATGGATACGCCATGATTCCGACTCCTTTAGGTATCGCAGAGCTGACTGAGTGCTTATTTTACTTTTGAAAAAGCTTGCAGTAGACTTGGTGTGTTTGATATTGGTGTGTCAAACCAATATTGAGATCGAAATGAAATTTCGTTTTTATTGGAAGTTTCCTAAAAGATTCAATGTTTTTCATGACTCACTCATCACTATTAAGAGTGTTATATGTTTCAATTTGTTAAATCCACGATATTTTATTCTATTCAACTAGATCGGACGTGTTTAGCGCAGTGGTCACGGGTTGCCTGCGGTACACACGTAGCCGTTGGGGCAATTTCTCGCCCTGGGTTCACCAAGCGTTGCATCTCTCCAGATTCATCAGATATGTACCAGACTTGTTTGGGAAGTTAGCAGCGCCGACTTGATATATGGGTAGACCACGACAAGTCGTTTTGTATAGGCAAGATATCCATTCGATCACCTCTAGCGATACGTAATGAAGTCGAATGCATGGCGCATCCCTTAGGTATTGATCAACGCTGAACACTTTATCCTTTTTTACGCTTTATTCAACTAGATTCCTTTTTTTATTAGCGTTTTCCCGAAACCCGTAGAATTTCGGCTGAGGTGTTCGTGGCAATGATTTCGTGTACTGGTGGCCAAATTGCAACAATTAAATCCTGATGGCCGTTCTCTTTCGTTTTTATTCCTTTGCTACATTTCTCAACAGTTGTTCCTTGCGGACAGATGGCTGTCACAGACATTCACGTAACCATCTTCTTTTGAAGAAATACAGCCCATCTCCTCTTTATGTGCCGATCGCCCTAACGGCATTAGTCGTTACCTCGTTACGTAATGCTAGCTCAGGATGACGGCGTCGCAGTTTAGGTTATAACCGGTGGGAACTTTGTCTATTTCTTAACGTTGCTTTCCCGAACTTTCGGCTAGGTTTACACGAAGCTTATTCTTAGGAATAAAGTGAAACTTATCCAAGAGCAAGAAAGCTTGACCTAATCTCTAATAATTTGTTCCCTTTCTTGTGTCTTGAATAATACGACTTGGTACAACCCAAATGGTTAATTTCTCTAGGATACTCGTTCATTTGTCTTTTCCAGTAAGTTGTTTTCATGTTCTTCACTTCTGAAACAGCTTTATTTCGAGGATTTGGAGCGGAATTTATTGTTACACCGTAGCAAGAACTGTCAGAAATCATGTCTCATTTTAAGCCGTGCGTAATACATTGGCGAAATTAGTATATCGGTGAATTGAGTGGCCTGGGAATTACTACGGTTTGAACAATGTTCTCTACTTTTCTCTAGGACTAACTCAAAAAACGTTCTTTCTCGTTCTTTATTTTTTTCTTTGAAATGTAGCGAAAATTATCATAGCCCGTATGACGTCATAGTAATAGCAATGATTATAATAAACAATTATAATAAACACTCTGTAATAATAAATGAAGGATAAAGCTCTCTGCATTGATGAATCCCTGAGGGATGCGCCATGCATTCGACTGCATTAAGCATCGTTTCGAGGTGATTGAATGCATATTTGGCCTCTACAATGACTCGCAGTGGCCTACCGATGTATCGAGCCAGTGCTGCTATCCTCCCAGACAAATCTGGTACCAATTTGCCTACTCCGGAGGGATGGAAGGCTTAGAGGGCCATGGGCATGCGGGTCGATTCCACTTGTATGTGTTGCAGGGCGCCTCCGACAACTGCGCCACACGTGCTCTTTGTAATAATAATAACTGGAACGTTGCTGAGATATTTGCAAAACTCTGCACCGCAGGTGTCTATGGTGGGGAACGAACGCGCTATTGTCCTTTCCGGGGAGTAACGCGTTCACCACCACACCATGCGGGTCCTTCGTTTTGCCTGTCTCTCAGCTATTTCTATCGATCTTTCCCACAGCAATCACCCGTCAACGGAATTGAATTAAAGGACAATAGCGCATTCGTTCCCCACCATAGACACCTGCGGTCCAGAGTTTTGCAAATATCTCAGCAACGTTGTGGTTGTATTTCGCTTAGTACCCTGCCGCGAAATTATAGTAGGCAGAAAATAAAAAGGTATAAAATAATAACTGGTTTTACATGCATATATATATATGTACATACAGGTGAATACAGATATATACGTATATGAAGACAAAAGGGCGCGTGTGGCGCAGTGGTTGGTGGCGCCCTCCAATACACACTTAGAATCGATCCTAGCACCCATGACCAACCAAGCTTTCCATCCCTCCGGGGTCGGTAAATTGGTACCGCGGACTTGTCTGGGAGGATAGCAGCATTGGTTCGATACATCGGTAGCCTACCATGAGTCATTGTAAAGACCAGATGTGCATTCAATCACCTTCACCGATACCTCATGAAGTCGAATGCATGGCCCATCCCTCATGGATTGGTCAACAGCGCGAGCTTTATCATTTTTATATAAAGACATACAAATCGATGTATAGGCTTATGTGCATTTAGTTGAATATTCGGATAAAAATGGTGAATTCTTCAGAATGGGTCACCCCTATGTCATATTTAAGTAAAGGTTCAATAGCCATACCGATAGCTATACCTATAGTGGTAGCATGAAACCGCTTCATTAAGAATCTTATGTGCTATTTACCACTTAATGTTGCTGCTTATGTCTGAATGGTTTGGCTTCTCATTGTATCTGGGAGTTTTTATGAATGTCAAACTCTGATAGATGATTATTCCCGATAGATTTTCCTATCAAGAAGCTCACCTAGAAGTAACCCAATGTCTGGAATGATTACTATATTGGCGTCAGTCTAGTGGTCGGCTGGAAAACTTGTTTGCTGATCACACAGGACTTTTGACAATTTCCTGTCTGACGATCTGAGATTGCTGTAGTAAGCGATTTTGGGTCTCAAGGGAAAAAGTGAATATTTCATCGAGCCATGTACTAAGTCAATACAGGACAACGAATATTCACGCCTGACAGATTTACTAATCAATTGGTGGGAAGCGGTCAAACTTGGGTTGCAATGTAGGTTATTGGGAAGAGAATAGGATAGCAGGCCCACCAGATGTCATTTACAATACTTCTAACGCGCCTGAAGCAACAGAAGTGTTTCTTCCAACGCTGATTTTTCATGTTTTTATTGAGACTACAGGCCAAACTTTTATAAATGTCGTCATTATTTTAACACGGTGTTGTTTTTCATCTCTGATTGAGTTGTAAATGGAACTTTCAGCAATCTCCTGCTACTGAAGTCATCGTTCCTCCATCTGTCGTTGTAGAATCCGAACCATCGGAGTTCAACGTCGCTGAGACTATCGTTTTGCCGAAGAAGACAGACAAACTGGATTTCACACGGTAAATCCATTTTTTTTAATATTTTTCTTAAATAATTCCAACCACTATTTATCAGAGTAGTCGTTCGATTGGGAGCGTAAAATTTACCAGCAGATGCTTTTCTTTTGAAATACCTTTCACTTTCACGTGAATCATAATCCTAAACTTCTTTTGCAATCGAAGGCTTGTAAAAACAACTATTTTTTTATGTGATTGATTTTGTTTCAACTGCTCTTAGAGCTCATTTAACACTATTTTTTTTGGATTTTAGAATAATTACAAATAATATAGAAGTATTTTTAAAAATTCTTATGGACAAATAATCAACTGAAAGGACGAATTTGTCAACTTACCAAAATCTAAAGTCATTTTACCGAAACAACGCCACCGGTTTTATTTCTCTTGTCAATTTATATTTAAGGAGATATTCTCATAACATACACTTGTTAACCCTTTGTACCACATGCTGCTTAACACTCGCGACGACGTGTAATCTCGGCTTCGTTGCCGACTGGTCGACGCCAAATTTTCAGCCTTTATGGACTGACTGGTTTTTTGAAAATAACCAAAAATTTCCGAAAAACTAGAAGACTTCATCGGTTGTAAAGATGAGTGGATTGCAGGAAATACTATGTCTTGCTATATATCATACAAAATGTTTCTGTCAGCACTTGGGAGAATTTTGCAATTTATGGGTTTCTATTTCAGTGTTTTTTATGCTCGCGCACTCTGTACGATAGCTGTCATTCACTATATAGTATTAAGGATTGAAACAGTTTTGTATTTACATAGTATAAATATATGTACAGCGCGCGTGTGACACAGTGGTTGGAGGAGCCTGCAACACGCACATGAAATAGATCCCCGCACCCATGACGCACCAGCCCTTCCATACCACCGAGGTCGGCAAATTTGTACCAGACTTGCCTGTGAGGATAACAGCACTGGCTAGATACATAGCTAGGCCACCGCGAGTTATTATAAAGGCCGGATATGCATTCAATCAGCTCCAAACGATGCTCAATGGAGTCATATTGCATGGTGCATCCCTCAGGGGTTGGTCGACGTCGAGAGCTTTACCCTTTTTTAAATATATGTATAAAATATGTAGGATTCATATGTAGTATATAAATATGTAAATTTTTCGTATATTTTCAAATGCAGAACAGAAGTTTTACAGCAACAACATCTGTGTTTTGTAAGCTGTCAATTGACAACGAAAGGAGTTATGTGTGTTAAAATAGACACTGTGAAATGACACGCATAGGTGTTATGCAAACCACTCCCGCAAAACCATTACGACACCTATTTGTGTCACTCGTCGCGAGAGTATTAAAATGAAGCGGTTTTATTGATTTAAAGTAATTTTTGTTAACAGAATTTTGAGTCAGATGAACAAAATATTTTTTTAGAAGATGGCTGAGAGACGACTTATCGTCACTGGCTCATCAGCCGCCTACACCAATCATGCTCATGCCGGAGCCGGTGCGTGGCCTTTAGCTTCTGTGACGGTTTTTAATGAGATCCTTTTAGCTTTTTTTTTAGACTACTTTTAGACAGGCCGTTTGTACCGAGTTTTCCTAGCTGTTTAGTCTCTGCTTTAGTGTGTTTTTCCTCGCACTTACAACCAAATACTAAGTAAACGTCTTGGAATTTTATCATTTAGTTTATGCCGAATCGTTTCAATATTTTTTCCTTATTCTTTTAGAACCATGAGCCTTCTATTTCAGACCCTTGAATTTAGATTGGTTTAGTTCAAAGCGTTCTGATTTCTCGTCATTTTATACATTCCTACTATGTGTCGGTTGAAGTTTCTCTTACAATTCCGCGGTTACGTAGTACTGACCACCATCGAATTGGTTTTTAAGCCCTACACCTTTTAATGTTCACCTTAGTTAAGTATTTTTCACACAATATAAAACTAAATTCGCTTAAAATGTAGCAGAGTAAAATCGTAACACTACCATTTCTACGTAGATTCTATAGGTTTCTGTGATTCCGATACTGGGCCTTCAATGTTATTTCTCTTTTTTCCTCGTTCTGGACATTGGGATGCTTCGTTTCCGAGATTTCATAGTACTGAAGAGGCGATTTTAGTGTTCGTATTACAACGATGTCGATGAACACTCACTAGGCAGTTGCTCGGCCGAAGTTGCTGCCATCAACTTGAACGGACGAAGAGAGAAGCCGAAGAAAAGCAATGGGTATGCGACGTTCAATTCTTTGCTCGCGTTCACTTTGAGAAATGTTCACTGGAAATTCGTCTAGAAGATACAAGACATTGGTCTTTAGTCTCTTTAACAAAGATTGTTCGTTTTAAAATGCTTTTCTGAGCATCGTTACAATGTGAAATCAACCTGAATTATCATTCAAATCATTGCATTATATTATTTATAAGGAAGAATTTTTTATTACCATTAGATAAGTATGGAGATTTCAAAATTTGGTGGGTTTACAACCACAATGATGCAGAGATATTTTCAAAACCTGAATACCACGCTAGATCGAGCCACGATTACTTTTCCAGGGACTCACATATTAGGCAAGGCATCACTGAGGCCCTCGTTCTGTTTCCCCCCAGCCTGTCTTTTTATCCCAACGGTGCCACCAGTAACCACACGTCAACGGAAATGTAACGCTCCGGAAAGGGTAATCACGGTTCAATTTGGGCACCGGTCCAAGCTGTGCCAATATCTCAGCATCATTGTGGTTGTATTTCACGTAGTACTCTGCCGTGAAAAAATTATAGGCAGTAGTTCCCAGGATCGACTTTCTCTTAACCTTGGCATTGGAATATGAATGTGTCGTTTTCTTGTTCAGCAATCGCGAGGTTTTTAAACAGCATACATTTACTTCCATAAAAACCACAATGCAATACAACGCTAGCTGACGTTTCGGCAGTATCGCCTTCTTCAGAGCCTGGAAGGGCATGCTGATATACAATCTACAAGGCAATACAATTCCTTACGTTTCTGATAATAGTCAAAATGGGGTTGATAATGCACCAAGAAAATCTAGGGTCACCGCGATTGGGGGCATAACAATACCTGAGAATGCGCGCTCGCTATTAGAATTGGGCCCAAGTTTTGCACCATCACAGCCGATTTCTAAAACGACCCTGCGTAGGATAGCATGCAACCTTTATGAGCTTCAAGATCGACTCCGCTATCAGGCCAAGCAAGAAACATCAAATAGAGAAAAAAATCAAGAAGCGGCGACACTACCACCATCTCCTTTCCCAAAAACGATCTTTAGACAGCAGGACCCTAACGATGGAGTTGACATAAAATTCCGCGTGTTTTCGGACGGCGTTCTCAAGACCCTTGATCACTACCGCGATAGAAAGTTTATCTCTAACCTTACAGCCGCACAAAAATGTGGCAAGCAGGAAATTAGAGAATTAATGAACTCGAAAACAATAAGATTGTCTGTTAGTGATAAGGGGGGAGAGTTCGTAGTGATCCCTCTCCAGCTGGATGTTGAGATAACAGAGGAACATCTTAGTGATGCTACTCTCTATCGCCCATCCTCTGAAAAGGAATATAAAAGTCAATACCGAAAACTAAACAATCAATGGGTCAGCGTGGCAAAGGCTGCGGGTTTAAAATCATCGGTTATTTCGCACTTTAAAATCGATAGACCAACATGTCCCGTCCTATACCTACTTATTAAAACACTTAAGTTGGTATCACCTGATGATCATGCGTCAACCAATCCGTCATCATTTAAGGTTAGACCGGTCATCAGCTGTGTAGACGGGCCAACNGGAGTTGACATAAAATTCCGCGTGTTTTCGGACGGCGTTCTCAAGACCCTTGATCACTACCGCGATAGAAAGTTTATCTCTAACCTTACAGCCGCACAAAAATGTGGCAAGCAGGAAATTAGAGAATTAATGAACTCGAAAACAATAAGATTGTCTGTTAGTGATAAGGGGGGAGAGTTCGTAGTGATCCCTCTCCAGCTGGATGTTGAGATAACAGAGGAACATCTTAGTGATGCTACTCTCTATCGCCCATCCTCTGAAAAGGAATATAAAAGTCAATACCGAAAACTAAACAATCAATGGGTCAGCGTGGCAAAGGCTGCGGGTTTAAAATCATCGGTTATTTCGCACTTTAAAATCGATAGACCAACATGTCCCGTCCTATACCTACTTATTAAAACACTTAAGTTGGTATCACCTGATGATCATGCGTCAACCAATCCGTCATCATTTAAGGTTAGACCGGTCATCAGCTGTGTAGACGGGCCAACGGATAGAATAACCTGGTTTTTAAGCCTGATAATTATCTAGTTGCTTAACCACATTCCAGCTCACCACACAAACACCCAAATGTTCCTAGAACGTCTACGTAACGCGTCTCCTAATAACGCGTGCGTGATGGAGTCCTTCGACGTTACCGCGCAAGCCATCTTCGAACTTCTTGTTGAACATGAACGAAGAATAAATATGCATGGCTTATCCAACCAGCAGCTCATGGCTGTCTTAAAGGAGTGCCTAAACTGCTCGATTTTCAGATGGTCTGGGAAATATTTCGCGCAAATAAGGGGGTTGGCAATGGGACAGCGATTGGCACCAAGCCTGGCCATTGTGTTTATGTCTAAGATAGAAGCCCCTGTTCTCGATCTCCGGCCACTACTCTA